ATCTCGAGGCGCTTGCGCCGAGGGTTGTAAGGTGCGAAGGCAATAAGAGACTTCTCTACCGTGGTATATATACTATTTTTTTTCACTACTAGCACTTGAAATCCTCTAAATTAACATATTATATTGATAAGAGAGTTAACGGTTGGACAGAATTGTTTGTTTCTTAATTTAACATGTCAATCAAGTACGTGGAAGTACAAGTCAAACAGGCCGTATTTTGTTCTGTCATTGAGATTTTTCAAAGAGTAATTTCGTTCGAATTTTTTCAAAATGTGATAATTTTAGGTATGTAATTTCTCTGGAAATTGCGAATGGTGGTGATTCGTTTTAGAGAACTTGTCTAAACGTTCATTGAGCGAAATTTCGGGTTGTGTTTTCTAAAAGTGACAGCGTGACAGTTCTCATTATTGACTACTAGTTAATAATAAAAAATTATTAACCACTTTGAACAAATGCCGAGAAAGCCTACTTTACAAGTGGAAAAAAGGTTAATAATCATGTCATCAGACGCTAGTAGTGAAAAAAACATAATTAATGATACCTCAAAATTTCGGAAATTATACACAAAAAAACCTGTAATCAAGACCGGACCAAAAAGTGACTTTTGTACATGAAATCTTCCATAAGAAATACATCGCGCTTACGGAGATTTATCAGAAGTCTCTTTGTTTAACTATTTGTGTACATGCTTTACTTACTCATTGCTTGGTACGATCCAGGACAATATTTCATTTCCTGTTAACTTGCTGTCTCGATTTAAGTCAAGTTCTTGATCAAATTTCTCCTTCTCCGTATATAACCACTCCTGATCGTGATCGAGACCACGATCACCAATAAATTCTTGAAAATCGATCGCGCCATCCTTGTTAACATCTTTATCCCTTAGCGTTTGCTCTAAAATATGGGGAAGCATCTCGGGATGCTCCTCTGGATGCGAAAATGCTACCCACTCATCCCCTTCCAACAATCCGTCACCATTAAAATCGGCCGCCTTCCACATAGTTTTATCATCTTCTATCAGCTAGTTTCATTGTTTTACTAATCTAGGAGTCTGTTTGTTAAACTTACCAGCTGATTTTCCTTATCTAACTTAAAGGAATCCTCATCATCTGCATCAGAACCATACGAGTCGGTCAGGTATTCCGCCCATGACACCTTTCCGTCTCCATTATCATCTGCATCCTCCAAGTGTTCATCAGCCTCTTCCTTGGATAACATTCTATAAAAAATTGATACCTAACAAAAATTATAACCGTTTGTAAACATTGATTACTTAAATGAACGTAATATCCAAGCTTTCAACTCTTTTCTATCGATCTGCTCGTCTTTATTTAGATCCATCTTTTTCAACAAGATTTTCAAGCGTCTTTTGGCTTCGTCTGGTGGCAGATGATCATATTCTTCCGCATCTTTAGCGCTTCCGAGTATCGACTCGTGATCAAATTCGTTATTGTGTTGCTCTGTATCGGCGTTATGTCCCCGGTCGCGTGGACTGTAGGCGCCATCATTTTCTCGTTCTTTGTTCAGATGACTTGAATGGCTGTGCACAACCGCTGCATGTATGTGTGCGAATGTAAGGATAATTATCACAGCCCTCAGGGTAAATTTAATACTGTTTTTGTGTAGCATTATGTACCTATATAAAAAGTCGATCAGTTGTAATAGAGAATAAAACTCGAAGACTTACAAGCTATAGCATTATTTAATTAAAAAAGTTTATTTATAAAGAAACACATAACCTCAAAACGTCAGCTGTGCTGTGATGCCAAGTTTATTTGAAACGTTACTAGGGTCTAGTAGTTTACAGGCTGGATTGAAACAGTCTCCTCACCTCCTGTTTCCTATTCATGGAAATCATGTACATCATTTTTAATTTGCATAAAAGGAACCTAATTCCTCTGCAAATTGTCTAGATTTAATAATAATAATAATCATGTACCTACTGTCAGGTCGCTACCACTTTTGGCCCACGGTGACCGAACTATCAAATTTGTCGCCTGCTCTCACCCACTTACTATTCCCCTTGAGTTTGCAAATTATGAACATTTGGCAAACACCCTGTATCTCTATGTTATTATCTTCATGCTGTGCTGTTGCTAACTTCACACTAGTTGCTCCTGCTGTTTGTAAATTATAACCCCAAAGTTACTTGTATTTGCTTTTTATTTCCTTAACTGTGTAACCGAAATTTTGTTAATAAATCAGTTACATTTACAAAATGCCGTACGCAAATCAGCCATCTGTACATATAACTGATTTAACAGATGAAAATGTGAAGTTTTACATCGAAGATACAGAACTGAGGTGAGTCCCACTCACCTAGGTAATGGGTATCAACTTTTAACGTTCTTTATTTTTAGCGTTGCGAATAGCATGCGTAGAGTCTTTATTGCGGAAACCCCAACTTTAGCAATAGATTGGGTTAAACTGGAAGCCAATTCTACTGTTCTGAGTGATGAATTTTTAGCGCATCGCATTGGTTTAATACCGCTAATATCTGATGAAGTTGTGCAACGGTTACATTATCCCAGGGTAATTTTATTCACTCAGTCTTTGTTTACTACTGCTTTCGATTATAGGACTGTATTTGTCCAGATTTTTGTCATAATTGTAGTGTGGAATTTACGTTAGATGTCAAATGCACTGATGATCAAACGCGGCATGTTACGACTGCTGATCTTAAATCGAGCGATCCTCGAGTTTTACCTGTTACATCAAAACATCGAGATGACGACTCATCAGAGTATGGAGAAACGGACGAGATACTTTTAATTAAGTTACGTAAAGGCCAAGAATTAAAAATGAGGGCGTATGCTAAAAAAGGTATGTTGAATAGTTTCTCACATCTTGGACCAACGTTGCCATTTAGGGTTTGGAAAAGAACACGCCAAGTGGAATCCCACAGCTGGTGTTTGTTTTGAATACGATCCGGACAATGCTATGAGGCATACTTTATATCCTAAACCAGACGAGTGGCCGAAGAGCGAATATACCGAATTAGACGATGACCAATGTATGTCTTTATAACACGGTGTAATGTCTTAAATTGAAAATTGTAGATGAGGCAACTTTTAATTGGGAGACAAAGCCAAATAAATTCTTCTTTAACGTGGAATCTTCAGGAGCTTTGAAACCAGAGAATATTGTCATTATGGGTATAGCGATGTTGAAAGATAAACTATCTAATTTACAGACGCAGCTCAGTCATGAGTTACAAACTGATGCTCTAGCCATTTAATTTACTCTTATTGTATTAATTGTTGTCATTTTTGTGCAACAAATAAAGTTTGAATATTTTATGTCTTAAGGATATTATGACAGAATGAATAATTATAGATATAAAGAAATATTTTTAGAGAACTGCTGCTGCCATAATCTAATTACAAGTATGATAGTACAGCCTGATGGCGCCTGAGAATAACAAAGGCAGTTACTCTCGCAATTTAAAAAAATATTTAATAATCGTCATTTATTGGGATAACGGAAACAAATACAAAATAAGAAATTTAAAAAAAAAACAGAAACACCCTTAAACCAATAGGGCGAAGTTCAGAATTGTAATGTAGTACCACTAACCCTGCTTCTTTACTTCTTGATTAGTCATAATGGCAAAAAGTTCATAGGATAAATTGAAAATGAGAGAAATGTAGAAGAAAAAATTACTTGTTATGTACCCGACTTTTCGCTCTAAATTTGATTTAAGTATGTCATGGCGGTCTTTATTTTCTAAAAGCGCCAATTGGTTATTTACCTTCATTGGAATAATAAAAAAGTGGTTTAAGACCTGCTTTGCGTAGGTAAAGAGGATGTGTATCTGCTCTGAAATATGGAAGATCGACACATTTTTGAAAAGAGGTTTTATCATGGTTGAAATTAAAATGGTAATCATCAGCGGCGGCCTCTAGAACCATTTTTAACGTCTCGTATACATTACATAGGTATACCTTAGAGGTCTGAAAAATTACAAAGACGATAGTTTGTTTATACAACAGGCGAAGGTTTGAGTTGAGGTAGTTAAAATATCTTAGAAAATGTAGAAGTCGCTCGGTAGACTTGGCCCGACGGATATAAAAAAGTGACATCTTTTGATGGAAAATGTGCAAAAAAAATTGTTCTCTTTATTTGAAGTGTAGTGTGCATTGTAAATAATGACATTATTTACAATTGTCATTTATTTTTGCATAGACTATATAAAAGGTTTACGAATGGATTACGATCCCCGAATTAAACTGAACATATTCCAAGGGCAGACCACATTCCAAAATGATTACCGTAGGTTCACCCCAGACAGTAGAGAAAAGTATGTTTGGCCAAAGGCACGCAGTGAACCTCCTCCGAAAAAATCGGCGGAATTTATTCGGAAAGATCCCGAAACTTTTGTAGAGTGGAATAAAGATGTTTACATTCCATTTAATTTGTTGATGAAACCTCGACCAATCATTGATACAACTCCTTACGCCACTATTCCCAGGCTTAAGGTACCCTGAGTGATTTTATGACACCATGTAATTCAAACTACAATAGGACCAAGCGAAAGACGCAGAAAAGAGTGACGTAATGAAAAGTAGACCCCGTTTATACATGACTCCCGCTGTTAGTATGGATGATGTGCCCGATCCTGAAATGCGAAAACTTATATGCGATTATATGTATACGACGGATTTCCGCAGAGCGGAGAAAGAAGCAGCTATGGGTGAAAACACGCGCGAAATCGCAACGTCAACGTTGGACGTCGGGCTTGACCCTGTAAGTTATGGAGTAGGAAACTTGTTTTAATTTGAGTAGGTAAAATTACGTACAGAACTTTATCCTCCTTTACCACTCGGTTGGCGCGAGAAGGGCAGGGCTTGGGATAGCAGGCAAATGAGAGCTCTAGTGGATCCCACCGAGACCTTTTGGTTCAAGAGAGGTTCCCGGGTTAAGTTGGCTACTTTTGTGTGTAGGCACTGCAAGGTAAATTTTACTGATTGTAGGTGCGGTGCCTGTAACAACCCATATAAGGGAGCAGTGCCGCAAAGCGTTAAGGATGAGATAGCTACGCTTATACGTAAAGATAAACTACGTTTGGCGCATGATTATCCAATCCCAGGGTATACTGGATTGAGGCCAATGTTGTCTGCAGGCGTTCCTCTATCAAAAACTGACCTTCCTGTAACGCACCCGTTCTTGTCAGCCTCTCAAGCCGTAACTCAACGTTATGCTGAAGATAAGAATGTATGACTATGTAATATACACCTTTTTTACACTAATACACAAAAATATATCCGATTTTGAATTTCAACATGCCATTCCCTTTCAATGCGGTTGTAGGCATAGACATATATGGTTGTAATTAATTTCCAAAAAGAAGATAAAACCGAATCATTCAAATAAAATTCGTAATGGTGAGTGTTCAGAAATCATCATCAAAGTACAAATTTTTTTAAAGTTTTTTACTGTTGCTTGTAAAGAATGCGAAAATTCTGTGTAAAATTTAATGAAACTCATATAATATCTAATCAAAGAGTTTTGAAAATGCTTTTTAACGTTCTTACAATTACTATATACTTACTCTGGCGAGAAAATTTTTAAGGAAGCTCTGGAAATCTTTTGTTTTAATCATTTTAAGAAAGGTTTTAAAAAAAGTTCAAGATATTTTGAAAATATATATTGCACATCAGAATAATACAAGATGGTTTTAGAAAATTGAGAGATTATAAAAGGATCTTGTGCAGGTTTCAAATCTAGTTAACCCAACAATTTTCTGTACTAATAATCAGTTGCATTACTTAAAAGATTCAGTACCCTGTATAGTGTGCGTAAAATGTTTTGTTTTATAAGTTGGTACATGAGTTATTAATTAATGGGTTGGTACACCTGACAGTCTCAGTTGTCATTTCAAAATATAAATAGGAAGTGTATTTGTAGAGGCTCTGAGTATGTCCAGAATCGCTAGATTTGGTAATCATATTAAAGAAATACGAATTCATTTATGCCAAAATGGAGCTTCGTCTAAAGGCGCACGGTAAACTTAATTTCGAAAAGTATAACCTAAAATTATGTAACATTGTCATAGAGACTTCATCGAAAAGTACTATGTTGATATAAAAACAAAGAACCCGAGTTCTTCAATTTTGGTGAGGGAATGCTCTGGCGTACAGCCGCGGATTTGGGCACGATATGGCAAGTGACTTTGTTAATTGACAAACAATTACATTACCCCTTTTCTAGAGCGTGGAAAGGAATCTTGTGTATCTGTAACAAACTTAGAAGCCGACCAGGTACTTTCAAAGTTTGAAAGTTTAATTAGTAAATCGTAAACATGTTATTTGGTAGAAGTAATTAGTTAAAATAAAATTTGCTATTTACTTCTTTGTAGTCATTACATTTTGGTAACTAAGTGGATAATTATCTACTACAATTAGCTATTTATTTTAACGGTGGTAAACCGAATAATTCTAATTTCACATCAGTTAGAGACTTTAACACTTGCGTAGCTTGTCGTGTTTGCTCAGTGGTTATGTGTTCATCAGGTACCATGACACATTGCATTCCTGCTTCGGTTGCTGCCAATACACCATTAGGTGCATCTTCAAAGACTAGGCACTTTTGAGGATCGGGTGAATCCGCAAATCTCGAGGCGCAAACTAGAAAGATGTCGGGACTGGGTTTGCCATGCTTAACTTCAGGATCGGAGCCACCAGTTACAATATGACTAAACAGGTTAAATGTATCTTTATACTTGGCAGTTTTCAAATTGGCACTGTCCTTAGAAGACGACGTCGCTACTGCTATGGGTACTTTATTTTGGGAAAGGTGTTTAATTAAATTTTCTGCACCTGCAAAATATGCCCATTACACTATGCACTATCAACAAGGTGGTAGAAAAGGGTCGACGTTAATTACAAGAGTGTACCTGGCATGAATGGACAAGAGGCTAGGAATACTTTAGAACGTTGTCTAAATTCTGTGAGGAACTGTGATTTGGTGATGGGTAATTGCATTTCGGAGACGCAAATGCGTGCGGCATCTGTGTCGGGACTGCCCAATAATTTAACTCTTATCGCATTAGTGTACTGTTTTCCATGTTGTTTAGCAATGGACGCAATCACATTTTTGTAAATCGATTCAGTATCTGAAATCAAAGCACATATTAACATACCTGGCATAAACTTTGCGTTCGGCATTAACAATTGATATTGTTGCTGTGCCAGTAAATAATACTCTTTCCATGTGATTGGTAGATCGAGTAACTTAACAAGCTTTCGAGCGGCTTCTTCTCCCGTTAGCCCCATAACTTGGCTTTTCACTTCCCAATCGAACGTTTTGCCATAAACTTGAACGACATTATTCGTAGCCTGTGTGTATATCGTTTCAGTATCTGGAATGTGTTACAGATGGATGGGTGAGTGAGATTACGATAGTTTGTTATATCCAGGTGTAACAAAGGTGTACTATTAAGATTCGGAACAGATTATATAACAACTTTAACATTATATTCATATTATATATTACGTTTACCTAATATAAGGCCATCTAAGTCAAAAATAACGTGCGTTACTTTAAGGAAAGCATTTTTGGTGGATGAAACTGGTCTCATTTTTTAAAATTTTTGAGGTTGGTTCCATAAATAAATGGTTCCTAACCTCTTCTAATTATTATACTGCATTGTTGCCAGTACTTTATCTATGACATATACCCAGTGCTACACAGAAATTTCGGCAATGTCCATGATGTTTTAAACTACCAATTGGTACGCGTACATTTTTCCTTGATTTGTAATTGAATTGGGTCTCGGGTATCAGATTAAACTGTACACATAAATCAAGGACAGATTGAGAAACACCTCTGTATAGAAAAGTAGGCAACTTGTGAAACTTGTTTTGGACAAAGCAAACTGGAATGATTGCACAACCAGTTGTACAAATCGCAACCAGCATACTCGTAGCGTCACTTAGATGAGCGTTCTTTAAAAAAAGCCGAAGGAGAATGCTTTTTAGGGGCCGTGGCCGTTACGGCACTGGGTGGATTATTTTGTCTTATGCTTTGTTCTTCCATGCCTTTATCTTTTTTTGTTTTATATATTTTAACACCACCTGTCCCCATCAGGTTTTCGATCCCCTTTTTTTTCAACATCTGATACGCCAAAGAATCGCCAGCTCAAATAGATTTCAAAGCGACTTCACTCCTTTCCCATTTGTGAAAAATACAATTCCAAAGTCTCTCAAATAAAATACATGAAATAAATTGTTAATTATCCGGAGCTTCTATAGTAGGGTGAATTCTATATATTACTCAAAAGTGTAAGTATATTATTTACTGAATAAATTACGAGCACCTACGGTAGCGAAGTTTAAGTACATGTGAAAACAAACGCGTAAAATTTTAAAGCGCAATTTAAAATTTTTGGATATAGGTAGTCATATTCATGGGACAACTAACTTACGACTTTGTAACGAAAGCTCTTAAAAACTTTTCAAGTGATAAGTGGTCGCGGTTTTTAATTATTTTTCAAACAAATATTGGACTTGGTATGATGTAAAAGAATACATTTGTTGATTTGAACGAAGAACGGAGACTGAAGCGATATTTGTAGTGCATTTTCTAGCATGGTGTAGGTACATTACGGTCATTGACAAATTAAGTAATGATCGCCGAATGGGTAAATCCTGCAGCATACGCAACCAACATTTGAGTATATTGTGCAACTTGGAAATGCGAACCAACAAACTAAGGTATCTTTTTCTTGAAGAACTTGACGGAATCCTATATGTGATTGCATGGTTATTGCTTAAAGCCCGCTTGACATGGAGCAATAAAAATTGCAATTGCATGCAAGTTGCAAGAAAAATTGCGAAAGGCATGCGCAGTTCAAAGCCAGCTGATCAATTGCTGCAAGAGACTTGCATGCAATTTTTATAGGACCGGTGCTATTTTTCTTGCATGAATCGTGCAATTCTAGGGATAAATCTAGTTGTTTTTGTGGCACCAACCTAGTAAAATACAGCGGCGGCAACTGTGATGCTGAGAGACGCACTCATTACTTGTTTTTACTAATCTTATTTATTCTTGTAATTTTCATGTTTCTTCAAGCAATCAAAATTTAATTTTCATTTGAGGTTAACAACTTTTGTTGACAAATCCATATGTTTCTTCTGTTGGCAGACATGTGGCAATTGAAATAGAATTGCACCATGTCAAATACCATGCAATGCTTATTGCATGCAAGGATTTGACCTTGCAATTTTTTTCTGCAAGTTCTTGCGCGTAGTATTGCTCCATGTCAAGCGGCCTTATTACGTTGCAAAGTTTACCTATAAGGCGATCATTACTTTTGTCAAAGACCGTACATATTCAGAGCGATTGAAAATGGTAGACTTTGTCTTGGAAATTGGAAGGGTTGCATAAACTTAGAATTTTTAGTGACAATTAATGATAAAAATGGTGGCCGGAAATGTTCATCAATTGTCATTGTTTAATGTTTAATGAGCTGCATTACACTACAATCAGTGGCCATGATATTGTCAATCTAAGTGTGACAATTTTGTCCTGGGCGCGAAAAGATTCCTTAAAAAGCACGCGTTGACGTCAACGATCTTATCAGTCATAACTCATGCTGTTTAAAATAGGTTGAAGTTGTTTAATTGTACTTTATTGGTACAATTACAGGGGTTCAAAGGTGTTTATAGTACGTCTAATTCAAGTAGAAGTAGCTATACTATAGGTACATAAACGTTCTGAATAAAAACATTTCTATCGAGTGTGATAACGCCTAACTTTCATGATATCACTACTAGCTTATCTTGAGCATGTATTTATAGTCATTTTTGCAACACTTCCTTAAAAAAAGTTCTCATGCACTTAGATGTACCTACTACAGTTGATAACACCATTTCGATTTCCCGTACACATTTACTAATTTTCCTCAGGAAATACGATACCTACTTATGATCATACGCTCAGAAATATGACATTCTACAAAAAATAATTTAGCTACTTTAGTTTTCAGGCTTTAATATTATGATCAATAGCATTTTAAACAAATCGTAATAGAGGTATTTCTTAAAAAACATATACCTACTTAAAGCTAAAGCAAAATCCAAAAAAATGGCTCATCTGACTCCGCATATCTGACAATTTGCTTGCTTTATCTCCTCTTTTTGAGATAGTAAAAGAACTTAATTGGGTGATATATGCATAGACATATATACATTGTACCAAAATCAGAAGGGTACACTGGGCCAAAACCAAAAATGCATTCCAAGATCAGATTATGCTGGGTCAGAAACAGAAGATTACAGAAGACGCAAGTCGCAGAAGGTTACATTGAATCAACTCAGTCCAGATTAGGTTAACAACAATGGGCCAAAATCAGACGGGTACGTACCATGGATCAAAATCAAGAGGGATACAGGACCAAAATCGTAAGCGTTAAATGAGGTCAATATGAGGGTACAGTACGTGGGCCGAAGTTAGAATCTAAGGTGATGTGACGACGAATTGCAATTTGTGTAAAACCAAACAATTCTGGTAGAAATGTGATGATCGGCACATAAAAGACAGGAAGGGGATTGCGTAGGCCCTAGCGATCAGGGGCGCCGACTTATCAAAATTTATGTGGGTGCTCACCAAGCCAGAAGCCTCACATATTATGTCCACAGATAGATATAACCGTCTATCGTAGGTGTAGTCTTTTTTTGTGTATGAAAGAAATTCTATTAACCAAGTACCGAGTAGATTTTTAAGTTTTTATTTTCGATTTATATAAAAACAAGTTGTAAATCAGCATATGCATGATTAAAGCGCATTTTTGGTAATGCAGGTCAGTATTTTATTAGCGAAGTTTAAAATTATCGATCTCACGAGTAATTTTGGCTGCGTTAAATAATTAATTTTATTTAATTTCAATTGACGGTACGTCTTCATTTTGTAAAACAAATCACAAAGTAAATAATAAGTTTTTATACTGGTAGCGCTATCTAACGGTAAAATTATAGCACCTCCGAAACCCATATCGAAATTATTATCTTCAATTATCGATCTCACAAGTAATCTAACTCAAAATAGACTAGTGCCTGCACATCTACACTATAGCAGAGAGCTTTTAGTGAAAATTTGAATTCTCTAGCTATTGTAGTTGTGGAGATCTCACGCGGACAGCCGGCCTGCCAGCCATAACGAATATAATAGCGTATTTTTTTCAAAAATGCGCTAAAAACTTTATTTTTATTGCATGAGGCATAACTGTAGATTATGAGAATAAAAGTCTTTAAATAACTTTAATTTTATTTATATTAAAGGTTAGGTAAGCGTAAGCAAAAAATAATCTGCATATGCATGCGACACCTTCGTTGATGCGTCAAGCATTTGATACCGTTAATCTTAATTTGCAACAGCTTCTCAGTTTTCATATCCTCTGTTTTACAATAGGTAGTACTATACCTACACATAACAATTATTAAATGTGTGTAGTTATAGGTAGGTAGGTACTGTTAATCTTTGTCATTAAAACTAAGGAATTAAATTTAAGAAGTCGCATAAGCGTTTTCAAAATCGCCCAATTTGCGATATATCGTAAATGTGAAAAAATAGGAGCAATTATGAATGTTGTATCGCCCATTTTGCGATAAATCGCCCACGTTGGGAACCCCGGACTGGGACCTGGCCTGGGACTGCGGCTTTGAAAACTTCATGTACCGAATACATAGGTACCTATTATTTCATTTTTCATAAGAATTAATGATGGCGATCGACGATGTATGTAACGGATGACGGATGTAATTTCATTTCGATAATTCGATATCATAAACATGCTGTACGATCTGTACAGATTCTACAAATGTAGTCACATTCAAATTCAACAACTACTGTAGTCTGTACGCCGTACGGAAAATATTTATAGAAATCTTTCCTGCTATTTCGTGTGAGTAAAGTAAAAAAATATATCTAAATTTCTTCGTGTTTAGTAACCATCGAGAAAAAAGACCTAAATAGACAAATATCATCCGGAAAATTCTGTGGGTGCATCGCACCCACATAACTTTTTCTGTGGGTGCTTAAGCCCCGAAGCACCCACGTAGTCGGCGCCCCTGCTAGCGATTATCTGTAACCTTACAAAATAAAACCAGTTTTTTTTAAAATGAGATTCTTGATTAGTTTCGGTAAGCCCCTCGTATATGTACTTGTACCAACTTATAGCGAGTAGCGCGGAAGGCGAATTGAATGTTGATAACGTTGGCAGACATTAAATTAGATTAGAATGTCATGGATGGGGATCAAAGGTTAAAATGTTGATATCGTTTGCAGGTGGTTAATGTACTTTACTCATGACTCAAAATCAGTATTTATGCATACAATGGGACAAAACAATTCCAGTGTCAGTATGCCTTTACGAATACGAAGAAAGTCGCTCCGTTCGCCTTTCTCGCGAAGATCCTCCAAGACGAATTTAAGTGCAACCTTCACAATCGCCGATGACGACCACAAAATAGATTTGCTAAATGTGAATCTTGCGAGTGAAGAAGAACTTATGACGTTACCAGGTGTGAATAGAGCTATCGCACAGAATATAGTCGAACATCGGAAAGCCATAGGAAGATTTAAACGAATCGAAGATTTAGCATTAGTGAAAGGAATTGGTGCCGATAAACTAGACGAAATCCGACCGGAGATATGTGTTAATCGACGTAGAAACTTAAGTTGTAATTCGTCACGAGCGCAAAGCCTCGACAGCTTGGATTCGCACACGAATTACAAGAGTAACAAACTAACCGACCTAAATAATGCGAATATATTCGAATTGCAATGTGTGCCCGGGTTAACTCAGGAATTAGCAGCTAACATTGTGGACTATCGTAACAAGAAGGGACCGTTTCAGAACTTAGACCAGCTTATCAAGGTAAAAGGTGTAACGTCGATGCACCTCAGCAACATCTCCTCGTATCTCACACTAACCATCGAGGAGCACAAGAAAATTACAGACCTAGTACAGGTAAATGGTAGTTATGCTAATGGAAATGTGCAACTTAGTAATCATCGCAAATCACCTAGTGCTACTTTAAAATTTGCACTGTGTAATGGACTGCCCGCGTCATCCGTTAACGATATTTTCGAATTACTATCGGCGTACTCGTATCGTCCCATCCCCGAAGAGGATTTCTGTTATGTCCGTAACGGAGAGAAGGCTTTGCGGATCGCGTCGTGGAATTTGCAAAATTTTACCATTGACAAGGCGCAAAATCTTGGTGTACGGGAGGTTATATGTCGTACAATTCTCGAGAATAAGTAAGTACCTAGATTTTTTTAATTAGTAAGTCGCAACGTTTACGCTTGAGGTGGACTTAATTGGATAAGTAGGTCTACATTGTGAAGCACTTAAATTTATTAGTATTCATTTAGCATACAAGTTTCTTTGGCCTTCGAATTTAATTCGTGTGGGTTAATGTGGAGTAGGTACTTGGTTAATATTGCATATTAAATTAGCGGAGCGGTTGTGAACCCTTGATCGTTAATTTGTCTCATAATCTATTTTTCATAAGAGTAATGACTTTGAGTGGCACTTTGCTCTGTCTGAAATTGGCCCGGAAACTGATATGACAAACTTTATCATAGGTTGCCATAGGTGTAAGTAAAGAAAACAAGAGTGTTTCTCTAAAATGGAAAATACATAGCACATTAAATATACATTTGCTCTCAAGTGGTTTGTCATTAACAGGTAAAAATAGCTTATTGTAGTTATTGAGGTATGTAATTATTGTGTTACATAGTAAGAAATGTTTGTACTTTTAAAAGTAATTTCTAAATGTGTTAATTAATGAATATCCACATTTTGTTTTCAACTTTCATGTGGGCAGAGTCTAGATGCAAACTACACTGTAATTTCAATAGGCACTTAAAGAACTTCCTTACCCAAATTAGAATTCAAATTTGATTCAATTATTTCAGATTTAGATTTTGGTTTACTTTGGTTCGGAAATTCAAAGTTGCAATGCCATTTTTTTGTAAGTATGCCAAATTCTGACCATGTTGTTGTACGACCAAATAATTTTTTTTTCAATTTTCACAAATTTTGGGTTTAATGTTTTCATATTGATAAACCCAAGAATTCGCATTTTAACGTTTTCAAAACATTCTCAATCATGACGTCGAGGTGCTTTCCATCAAATGGTTATATAAAAACTGTTGTGAAACTATTCCCCGAACTCTATTCGCCATCCAAGGATCCGTCCATTTTTTTAAGTTCATGTAACACCTATCTAGCAGTGATGGCACGTACGTGACGGGACCAGCGGTTTCCAGGTACTCGGAACTCGGACTCGTCCCAACCTTATCATGTGCACCACTACAATTAGAGGACTTTTACGTAATTTTATTGGTTCAATAACCTCATTTTACCGCTCCGAAATCTGGTCGGTAGAGAGTCATAGTTACTCCCGCCAAGTTTATAATACTTATTTGGTTCCTTTTAGTAAAGTTATCTTTCAATGTCACATAGCAAATTCTGCAAAGTGAAAGGTAAGGTATGGCACTACGCAACAGGTAATAAGAAGTAATGATGAAAAGTAGGTAAAATTAACTATGTTAGCTAACTTTTACCTATTTTTGAGGGAATCACTTATCAATATCTTTACTCAACCCTAATCTAATTGTTACCAAATTTTTGGTAGTGAAGGACCGTGGATACCTCCATGTAACTCGACACCGTTTGTTTGTCCCTTGTTATTAATTTATTAATTTAATAATATATAACCGAACTTCATTTCCTGAAGACTGTGGAATGTCGAATAAAAAAAAATCTCTTATGTGTATGTTATGCCAGTCTGTCTGTCCATCTGTTCCTCGTCTAACTCGAGAACGAAAAGAGGCAGCAATGTCAAATCTACGCCAATCGATTTCTACGAGTTCAAGGATTGAATATAAGCTGGATTAAAAGTCGTGTTTCCGAATGCGCACTGATTTAATTAGGTTCTCGGTACTCACAAAGGGAAAGTGATAGGTCTCTCTGAAACGCATTCGGCGATACCACATGCAATCTGATCGGACCACTAGCAAGGGAGATATGATATATTTTGGGGAACAGAGTACTCACAAAGGGAAAAGGGAAGGTCTGGACGAGAAACATCCGCTACTCGATCAGCTAGTAGTCTCAAATTTTCATATGCGAATATGTTGGGAACTGAGTTGGTACTCACAAGAGGAAAGTGATAGGTCTCTCTGAGACACATCCAATGGTACTACATTCGATCGGACGATCGGAATTTTAAAAACGTTTTCCGAGACGTTTTTGGACCTGGAGGGGAAGAGGACAGTTTAAAAATTCATAGCGAGCGAGGCAAGGCAGATTCAAAAAACCATTGTGAGTGATCAGTTGGACGCGCCAAGTATCGGGAGCGTAGTCTTTTTTTCTCCCGGTTCGGTCGCCGTAGCTGGCGAATGGGGTGCAGAGTTGCAATTTTTCTGGTTTGCAGATAGATGTCGCTTCCAACGCGCGTGGTTACAGTGACCCTATAGACTAGAGCAGAGGTGCCCAAACCTTTGTATCGTTTGATCTACTCTGCACAAGTAAGATCCTTCGCGATCTACCAGCTACTTCTACTATGAAAAAAGGTTTTTGTTGTTAGGATGATGTGCAATTGAGTTTTCATTTTACTTTAGTCCGTCGTATTTCTGATGTTGGTGGGCACTTATTTCTGATTGTGATGGAAAGTTGCATATTTTTTATGTACACTCAAAAAATGTCTCTTCAGATTACATACCTTTTTACCACCCGCACATTAGTAAAGGGATATAGTGCATTGGGGTTAAAAATGCCCCCTTCCCCACTGTTTTGATGGAAATACTCGCTTTGAAGCACCAGCAATGCGAATCAAACAAAATCTGGAAAAGGAAGAAGAAGAAGAAGCACACCAATGTATCCTTAAACATTGTAAAAAATTTGCTATACCACCCGCACAGCTGCGTATTCGCGGTTCTGCCCTTTTATATCTAAGAATAAGTGTACCAAATTTGGTCCCAATCGGTTCAGCCGTTTAGCCGGAAATGAGAGTACAGACGGACCGACACAGACAGACCAACATTATCGAGATTTTGTTTGATTCGGATTCCTGGTGCCCCAAAACGTGTGTTTCCGTCAAAAAAGTGGGGGGTCACTTTTTACCCCAATGCAATAGGTACTTACTAACGTGTGGGTGGTAAAAAAAGTCTTCTACCTACTCTTTATAAAACTAGTAGGGTTTTGGTCGCTTGGGCGCACTCGTTTTAAGTTAAGCGTAAGCTGATGAGATGATCGACTCGCAAGATCGCCGCGATCGACCGGTAGATCGCGATCGACGGTTTGGCCAGCTCTGGACTAGAGTATAGAACCAGTGTGACCATACAGTGGTGTTATTTTCTATTGGTAGTTGGCAGCTCCGCCATGTTTTAACCATATACACCATATTGGTAGAAATTAACCTGGAAACTCTGAAAAGAACTGTGGCAATAATATTGTAACCATAACAAAATGTACCAATTCAGTTAAACCAATCAGCTCAATGAAAAAGGATCATGTAGCATATGGCCAAGTCACTGCCTAAGTATGTATAAATAGAAGTTTGCGCGCACGTCATCACGTAATACATCCGAAGTAGGTATGTTTACATAGTATCTGGAATCGATAGAAAAGAATAAGTGTGTAGAAAACCATAACACCAGTGCTACATTGTGGTTAGAATACTGTTTACACCAACGATCCTGTACCTACAGTATACCTACCACAATGCTGCACTGTTGGTTTGGTTTCTTACATATTAATTCTGTTCTATTGATTGCAGATACTATGTAAACATACTTAATTCAGATATAACACGCTAATGATGTGCGTGCAAATTAATGTGGAAAATGAGCGCGTGAGAAGAGTTTGATTGTCATATTGGAAATAGCTGGGAAATATGTACGAAATGAACGAGATTAGAGGAAAATTTGAGGAAAATTTCAAAGGAATTAGGAAATTCAAGAGAAATATTAGATTTTCAGGAAATAAGTGGAAATTCTGAAAAAAATCTAGAGGCCTCGTTTAATATTGTCCTAACCGAGATTAGAGGAAAATTTTGATAGAGGGTTCCTTTCGTTGAGAGTTCTTTAATTAGAAATACCAAGAAAAACGAAACCAATTCCCTCACCCAATGATTTAGTCATCTCGAAAAGGAGCCACGAAGGAAAGCTATAGTTTGTGTAAAACAATTGGTTGTCCATTCACAACGTAGAACCTTGAAGATTATATATTTTGGGGTTATGTTTATACTTTTTTAATATTAAGGACAATTATAGCAACACGTCCTCCGCAATTTTCTTGAAAACATTGAAAAACGGGGAGGCCGCAAATTTTTATTGAAAAAAATGTGCGAGTGCGCACAGTTACAACAGGTGGATTGAAGTTCTTGAAGGGTTGTCTGGCCCCTCCGTTGAAATGGGTATTAATTTCAGTCACTCAAAAATGGGTCTTTATGGGTACTCTCTTCCACCACTTCATTTTTGAGATATTCCTTTCAACCGCCCCAATAATCCTAAACGTGCGAGAATACCTATTGAACATATTTTTCATTTTCCAGGAAATTTGTTGGATAGTTATTCTCGCATGATTAGGGCGTTGTGCACGGGTGCGCCATCTTGTTGAAACCAACAGTTTCAAACATTTGTTTTTTTTACCGTACACCTTTTGTAAGTACCCTGGACTGACAGTCCGCTCTTGAGATATGAGGAACTATAACCAAAACGGGTCAAGGAGGAGAATTTTCGTTCGTACAAATTAATCCCATTCGTTAAGACCTTTTATTAGAGTACCATGAAGGATAAAATCAGTCCCCCGAATTACCCAATTTTGATAGAGGGTTCCTTTCGTTGAGAGTTCTTTAATTAGAAATACCAAGAAAAACGAAACCAATTCCCTCACCCAATGATTTAGTCATCTCGAAAAGGAGCCACGAAGGAAAGCTATAGTTTGTGTAAAACAATTGGTTGTCGCGTGTACGTTTTACTTTCAGAAATAGCATCTCAGAAAGTAATTCTTGGGGGAGGGGAGGCCTTAAGACAACACAATTTGAAGGTCGTCTGGCCTTCCTTCGGGGTATAGGCTACCTATTGCACAAATTCCAGGATTAAAAGTAGTTCAAAATTGCAGAAGTGGGTCTGGACAGACGGATGGACATATCGTAAACAATAGCACATTTTACTTAATTTTAAAACATGCGCGAAAAAATTACAATTGCACAACAATGCAGCACAGGTACCGGTTAGAGCTTTTGCCTACGTGCCATTAACCCTCAAAAATGTAAATAGAAGCAGAAAGACAGAGGAATTTGTCATACAGGAGCCATGTCGTCACTATAAGTTACCTTTTACCAAAATTTCAGATATGAATTAGCACCTACTCCTCAGTAAAAAGTAGTTTTCGGAACGGACGGACGGATAAAGTATGCACAATAGCTACTTTTTTCATTTGTGGAAATGCGCTAGAACCGTATAAATATGGAAGCCTAAAAAAGGGTAGACAAATTCTTACACACAACATAAACGATAAAAATACACGAATTTCATTTATGTAACGATTTTGAGTCGAATAAACGTTTTTTTAAATAAATCTTTTTTTAGGTGGACCATAGTGGCAGTTCAAGAAGTGCAAGACATAGAAGCTTTAAAATTAATATGTGATTCATTAAACAAACCAAATTTAAGAAGAGTGGTCGAATGCAAGAGTAATAGTAAACAATGGACGTTCTGCATGTCTGACCTAAAGCATTCGCAACTGGGCTTCCTGTACGACACCTCCAATAAATGTAAGATATTTTACTCGCGTTTCAAGTTCTACTCTATTGATTATTATAAGATTTTAGCATCGGACTAAACTCTTTGGGTCAAACCAACATTGAAGACTGCCAGGTGGCCCTTGCAGATTTTAAAATAGGAAATACCGAAATGGCACTTTTAAACGTGCATCTACCCGTTAACGAAACGAATAATGTCGAGGAAAAGTTGAAACAGTCTGTGTCTCCGGAGGATAGCATATATTTTGTAATGGGCGATTTTACGGCGTTTTCGAAAAAGTGCAACGATAACGAGATTGCCGGTTTACAGGCCGTTCTCCCGTTTAGTACAAATACAAATAGTTTAAATATTAAATCAAATTTGAACAATCGATTTGTTGACAATATATTAACAAATAAGGGTGGTCAAGCGCAACTTACGGGAGTGTGGGGTGTTGTCAGACAGGGGCTGACGCATCTTGCCATTCCGTGCGGTTGGAATTGGGGTGGGCCGGTTTCCACTCACTGCCCGGTTTGGACGGAGGTATATGTGTCGCCTAACATCGGTACTGCACTGTGATTATTGTACTTTATATTATTGTATTGTTCCTAAGTATATAATGTTTGTTATCTTACGTAGAAAGTATATTTTGAGAATGGACAAAGATGTTGGTGATTACAATTGATTTTACGATGTATTGTTATAAATTTTAATTGATTTTTAAATTATTGTGGTTATCTGATGACAATTTTTATTAGCTTTAATAAGACAAAATATGGTTTTCGACTTATATATTTGGCAAGACTTTGGGTGATAAATACAGGGTATCTATCCAATTAATATTGTGCATGTTTTGGTACCTTTCAATTTTGATTAATAAATCCATATTTATGTCTGAAATGAACGAAGTCGTACTAACATATCAAAACTACTTGGACTGAAGTTTGCTTTGATTGACAATCGTTATTGATTAAAGGCATGTTTTCGATTTTTGGGATTTTTGTGTGTAAATTAAATTCTGTGAATTGTAATTATGCACAATTAGAGAAAGTATTATAATTTCGCTTCTCGTCCACAAATCTATCCAATTACATCACATTATACATTAATCGTATAATTCCTTACTGTGTTATTGTTTTAAGTGATTGACCAAATTGTAAATTATATTGATATTTAATAAAGATAAACATTATTTTTGAATGCATTGTGTTTGTTAATGTTTATATTTACATTTGTTGAAAAATTCTTAACAAATTAAAATCAATTTTAATATACAGTATATAAATTTTAACTCGAAACCAAAGAGTAACCATAAATTGAAATTTTAATTTAATTTAAATTTTAAACAAATTTTAATTTTATTATTCGCCCAAGTTGTACCCCTTGGGTACTCTTTGTCGAAACATACAAATCTTTACAAGTCAAATACCCCTTAAGATATGCAATCAATCTTACTTTCATCTTTTTCAAATGTATACTAAACGTCAATATCTGAATTATTTATTAAATTAAGATTGTTATATTGCCAATTAATAAAATGTATACAAAAAAGGAAAAAATTGAAATGTTACAGATTCGTTTCAACAGGTAATCACAGTAAAGACAATTCTCAAAATCATTAAAAACTTTCATTTTTACACATTAAACAAGAAAAACGTCTGAGTGCGAATGAAATACGTTGGTCCCCGCGATCAGCTGACTTGTTATCAAATAACTTCTTTCATTGCAGTAGGAATCAAAAGAGGAAGACCATTTCAAAAGCACTACTTTTGCTGGAAAAACGTTGAAACGCAACGGTATTGTTGGTTTACCCTGTATGTAATTTTATTTTGATTAGTCCGGCAACATTGCAAACTAAATGTCAAACACATGTGACGATGAGATGTCACCTTTCGTCCCAATACAAAACAAATCATTTTCAAATCAGCTGTTGCATTATGTATAATGCCGTATAATACTTATTTGTTATAGCTTATCATTAATTTTTATATGACACACTTTGAACATTATGCTTGCAAAAAGCAACTGTATTTCATAAATAATAATACTTTAAGCGTTTAAGGAAAAAAATGAAAATGGACGTAAAAGAACAGGGCAAGCCTCAAATACAAGGTAATTGTTTTAACTACAATGCTTCAAATCACAAAAAACGTTGTAGCCGTCATTGACGTATTACTGGAGAATGTAGCGGATAAAAACGCAGTTGTATCGGAAAGTATTTCCACTTCTCTTCGCAAAATCGCCAAAACCTACACTAACGACGTTTTAATCGTGTGCTGCGAATTCTGCAAGACCCACGATAAAATAACCAAAGAGCATCTATCGGAAATACTGAAGACGATGGAGTGCATTTGTCGTGATTACATTTTGGAAATTGACGGGGACACGGTGATCACTCTGGTCGAATTTTGTGTAAAAACTATGACGCAAAATATTTCGTATGAACCACTTGTTCAGTTAGCGGCGTCTGAGATTCTCGTTGCTTTAGGATCTAAGCACTGCGTACAGGTTTGTTAAGTTCTCAAAAATGCCATAATTAAAATTGATCAGGATTTATAGTACAGAGGTCAAGGAAATTGATTTATGTCCTTTTTACTACAATTTGCTGGTTTTTATAATCTAGGGAGACATTTATGATCTTCATTAATGTTGTTGATTAGGGAAATTGTTTTGCTGGTGGGTTGTGTGGATGCTTTGCAAATTGGCCTACTTGCCCTATAGGTTTCCGTCTAATAATAATAAACCAATGACCAATGACTGCTTAAGAAATTAAAATTGGAATTGATTGTAAAATAAACAACATGGGTTAATTATACAGAGTTGGTCACACAAGCGTGTCACACCACAAACGATTCTTACAAATTTTGCCTAAAATTGAGGGTAATATACAGGGTGTTCCGTTTAAAAATTATTACTACCTAGTACCTAGGCGACATTAAAGAACACCAGAACTTTTGGGTTAACACTTTTTTGAAACATATATTTTCCCAGATAATCGACCGTTTCCAGATTTATCAGCCACCCTATATGAAGGTAATCTTCGCTTTGGCTCCCTCTATTTCCCAACTAAGGTACAACAAATTGAAGAATGCAACTTTTTGCATTTTCAATATGTCCTTTCCTAGGTCGTGACCGTTCTTGTATAACCATTTCCAAAATTCGTACCTCCAGTTCGAATCTTAACGACATTTGGTAATTTGTATGGTTCTTTTAAACATGAAAATAATGAGACCCTAAAGCGATATAAACACGTGCGTTAATTAATTTTCCTCCGATAACGAAATTTAAAAAACTTATCGCAAACGACCAGATGTTCCTACATTTTAACACGCATTTTCACGTTTTACAATTAAATACACAAATGTAAATAATAAATAAAGCGATAAAATTCAAACGAAAGCCACTCAATTACAAACAATTCTAAAAGGAAAAGACAAACATCGAAATACAACTTCAAGTGAAACGAACAAACTTTGCCTAACAAATTGGAGGAATACCACATACAGGGTGTCCCGTCATTATTTTTGGTGGTTAGAAAACGTGTACATGACGTTGTTTATACAACAGTATACCTACCATCGCGTTGGTCTCTGGAAGTAGCAAAAGTAATCCCAAAGTCTTTTGTTATATTATTTCATTAAGATATTTGGTATATTGTCAGTTTCATTGGCAATTTTTCAGACGGATATCAAATTTTGTTGGTAAATGCTTAAAAATAGCATCATTCCTTAATAGAAGCCTGTTTTTTATTCTTAAAATCCACTAAGAACTTAATGCGCTATATTGTTTTTTACAATGAACATGACATTTGCTCCATCCAACACAACCTTACCATTAGTCAACGTTCATAAGTATTAATTTTATTATTTAAATCAATTTCAGGTTATCGATAATTTACAATCTAAATTGGAAAAAAATACGATTCCTCACTATTCAATACCGTACACGTTAGGATCGCTAGCATCGTCCAATGCGTTTGGGATTGTACCGTATATTAAAAATATATTCGAAGTTCTTGTACCAATGATGAACTACATTAAAACTGATCATCATAAGGATTCTGTTGCATATGGTAAATAAGATTTATCTTTTTGTTTCATTCCCTGTATGTAATATGTAAAAATATCAAAATCTCATGAAGGGAGGGGTAAAGAACTGAATTTTTGTGTACACTTGCCACAGTTTTTCCAGTTTCAGATCAATCATTTCAGTGAAAAGTTGGACTAAAACGTGCGTGGACGGATAGAAATATTTTGTCAAAGTCTACTCACTATAAAATAAAGGCAGTAAAAAAAAAACAGGAATCATTACTACTAGGTATCTGTAGCATTCTCCAAATATGTAATTAGAGGAACTGATGGACAAACAGATGTCAAAACTGCTCTTTATCATATTTAGGAAAATAAGGCAAAGGCTTTCTTCTCGTATTATATATTGTTGATTCTCCGCTGCAAAGTGTAAAGTCTCACACGAGGTCTCACATTACCTAGATTCACCCTCGGGAATTTTCCGAATTTTTTCTTGATTTCTCTGATTTTTTTCAATATTCAACTTCAAATTTCTCAGAATTTTTTGGACTTTTGTTGAATTTTTTTTAACACTATGATAATTAACATTTTATTTTATTTGGTTTTGCGCATGCGCAGTGCCAACTTTTTTAGTTATGGAAGCATTTAATAGCTATTTGTGTATTAAGAGCGCAAAATGATATATTGTCGATTGAAAGAGAAAGTTGACGCGCGACGAAGGAGCGCGGCAATCTCTTGAAATCGACAATCAATTTGCGCTCGAATTGCACACAAGATTTTTTCTACAATCGAGCAGTTCACATATTTCCAGAAATTAAAATTTTTCACACAAATCATTTTAATCTTATGCCCAAATGAAAGATGTCATTTACTCGTTGTCATTGGATACTCTGAGCAATGCATATTTGATTTATAGTTAATAATTGGGAGAGCGAGCGTTTTTTCTATTTTGTTGCTTATAAGCGACAAAGTGACATTCCTCGAAAAAGATGACGTTTGCGTTGTCAAATACGAGCGCAAATGCCTACTTTGGATATCAATTGCAGAAAAATGAAATTTGATACATAGGCACTTGGAATAAAGGAAAATCTAACGCCAGTTTCAAAATTTTGTTTTGCGCATGCGCAGTGCTAACTTTCTTATTTAGAAAAGCATTGAAATGAAATTCTTCTTATTAACTGAAATTGAAGTAGCACGTCAAAAATGGAGTGCAACGCTATCTTTCATACTCGCTTTCATATTTGTGGCCGGATTTTAACGATTTGAACAGAAGTTGCATCTTACAATTAATGGGAAATGAATGCAAGTGGAAATGCGCTTTTTGTAAATCGTTTACGATTACTTTTTAACTTATTTTTCATGCATGTCATATGGTTGCAGCTCTGGGACGTTTCAGTGAAGCGATTACCGAATACATGTGCAATATAAGTACTGCACCCGATCCAACCATAACGGCATCCCTATTTTATGTAGAATTGGGAATCGCCTACGATGTACTTAGCGGAATATGGTTATTCTCGAAGGATGCGAAGGTCGCGCAGACTGTACTTGTCTCGATTTCTTCCATTCTACCCAACCTTAGCGCCGATAAAATCAATCAGCAAACCACTAAGATTATTCCGGTCCTATTAAATCTGTATAAGAAGCATAAAGATCCTCTTCCGGTAACGCAATGTCTTGGATCATACATTCAGGTAAGTCTTCGGCAACACGAAAAACCACAACAAAAACATGTTGTCGCTTTTTGTGTTTTTTGTTTTTCTACTGCTGGCACATTTTACTTTAGGTAGCCGCTTTGGCTAATGGAACGTTACTGGAACCTTCACTAGCGTCCACCTTACACAATATTAGCGATTTTATATGCATTTCGCCAGATTACGCCCAGCCCGAATTGCTTCGGAATCATTCGGAGGTGCTGCGTTGCTATGAAAGTTTGACTGTGCACTTCACAGATCACTGTCTCGATTACATATTGGCCCACTTGCACAATAATAATGAAAAGGAGCGCATCAAAGCTCTTTTAATACTAGCGCATCTTACAAACTCCTCTGAAAACGTTATACAGAACAAAATCAAAGAGTTTTTGCAGGTGAGTTTATAAATCCCAATTGACTCGATGTGCTTTTTTTGGTGTTTTAGACTCTACTCGAACTTACCGTGGACAACAGTTTGAGAGTCAAGAAGGTGTTGCTGAAAACGATTGTCGCGTTTGCGTATAAGGGTTTGCTGCCGAAGGGCAACGAGCAGAAGTATCTTGAGTTTATTTTAAAACTGTGTTGCAAACAAGCGCCGAATAGGTATAACCAGTTCACACAGCAGGAACTGTGCGATCTACAAACAACCGCTGACAATACCCTTTACATGTTGAGCACGTCTGTTATAGAGCTGGAAGACGTGCTCTGGAATTTGTTGATAACTTGCTTTCTCAGTCTGGAATATTCCGAATCTTGCATCACAATATTGCGGTGTCTGACGCATCTCGCCGCACGTAAATATTCCTCCGAAACTTGTGTCGCTGCATTTATCAGATGTATTGCCTTGCTCGCTCATCCAGTGACCGAGTTTCGTGGAACTTTCATTTTGAACTTTTTGAAAAATATAAGCTTATATCAGAGTGCTTCGTACAAGTATGTGATTTATTATTGAAGTACATGATACAAATAGGCGAGGTAAGACTCACTCACTACCGGCATGTAGTATAGCCAATCTGTAAACGTGCGGAGTTCTTCCTTAGACCATTAGCTTTGAATATAAAATATAGGAAGGTTAGTCGTAAAATAGGCTTTCAGGGTCAGATTTACACATTCGACGCATGCAACCGATCGATAGACAATTAATTAAAGAAATCTGAAATACATATAATCTTTAATAATCCAATAATCTGGTCGTTCACTGCCACTTTATGGCGCACAAAGAACTAAACAAAACACTCGCTGATAAACTCTAAATTTCCTCTTTTTTTTATTACACTTGATCTTGATAACACACACTGGCTTTGTTGAATTCAATGACTAATTCTAGGGGCTTTTCGGAAATTTGATTATCGCCAGCTTCGTAATAAACTTATCGGCGATAACACGTGCTTGTCTTGAAACTAATTAAATTTCACCTTACGCAACGCGATAACAAATGTTCATATCGCAATGCCCAGATAAACCTTTTAATACAACGCGCAAATACGAGCAGATGTTCCCACCTTGAACGTTGAACTTCAAATAAAAAGGGCGAACTTTGTGTTTAATTTAAAATCAGCAACCAAACTTTCACTTATTGATATTCCACATACAGGGTGAGCCATTATTATAAGTACCGAGCCCAAACAAAATGTGTGCATTGCGTTGTTTAGATAACATTTTACTGGCTGCGGTAATAACATCTATATTTGATCTACAACTGAGGGCAATGTAGAAAGGGAAGAATAAAACACTGTTCTTAAGGAGTGCGCCGCCGGCTCCTCGAAAGTTCCTATTTCATCAGGATAGTAGGAACGGCAGATGTGTTTCCCTCTCCCATCGAGTTCCTCGCGATTCGGTCCTTTCGGCTTCGTACTTCAGTTCTGTTTTAATCAAAAATCGTTCTTCTGTTCAGAGCGTTCTCATCTGTATCATTAATTTGATCCGCCGGGTTGTTGCTTGTGTCTTAAAACACTTGGTGAAGAGACCGTGGTAGTCGGGAAAAAGCTTTTTGAGCAAGTTAAGTGGAGGCCTCCTGCCTCTCGAAAGAGGTACCTGCATCGGGGAAAGCAGGAATTGGGATGCCTTGCAACTGCTGAAGCCATTTTAAGTAAGTGACGTATGCATGTAAACTGTCAAATATTTTTGTTATTAATATTAATATTATTATTATTAACAACTAAATTCACATCGGTAGATAAGGCCGATCTATGACCACTTTGACCTTGAGTTCTGTGCGTGCGCAAATTCCAAGCTTGAACTACTGCCCATCCACAGTTACACCGGACGAGGGGGCATGGCACGTTCACAAAGACAGGTTAGGGTCGCATCTCAATAGACAGCTTCTATGAAATTAGGTGCCCTGCAGAAAAGATTGTGTCATTTAAAAGTAGAATAAGGAAAAACAATACACGTAAATCCTTATGTCTATTTAATAAATATCACTGTATATGAATAAAAATCGTATTATACTTGGTCTACACAAAAACGTCTAATTTTGCCTAATTTATCTACTAGGATTTGTTGCGGCTAAATGCACCGATTAACTGTCTTTAAATTCCCTGTCGTATGCTGTTGTATACAAATTTTTTTTTATCGCACACTCGCTCAACTTTAAGGAACTTGCTTATAACAAGCTGTTACTGTTAGCGATCCGAAAAAAAATGTCTTTATCACAAAAAGTTTATATCAGTTTATTTAATCCCGTTTTGTATTTGAAAAGCTGTTCTCCAATTCGAAAATGATCCTTCGCACATATTTTACCACTCATAAATAAAAAGCTTTTCCACGAATCAGGCTGCTAAAAAGCTTTTCTTATACACATACAGAATGCAGGTAACATGCAATTTGTCACAAATCCGAATTTGATTAAATGTTTCTCTACATACTCGAGATTTAGGCGTGCTCGCTACTTATTAATGCTTTTACCCGAAGTTAAACTGCTAATTCTTTACTACTGTTTGGACAGATTTTATTCAATAATTGCGCATTCCGGCTCCCGAATTTCAACCGCAAATTTTCACACATACGCGAGGATATTTCTGCAACACAGCCAAAAATGTACACGAATTAATTTTTTCGCACACTGTCTTCGCGATAATCAGCTTAGAATGCTCGCTTTCCCACGTCTCTCGCTATTTGAATCTCGCCCGCTAGAAAAACCGAAACGGGCTTTCTTACAACGACCTCGACTGGCGTACCAACCAACAGAAAACCCGCATTTCGGCTTTTTATAAGCCGACTCAAATGGAATAAACGTAACTTTTAGGGCCAAAGAGATCATGGCCAGCGCGCTCGCTTTCTCCAATACCTTTCTTGTTATCGCCAGACTTACTTTAGTTCACGTTCGCTATGAAGCGGTATATGTGTAAATGTTCTTATGTTTAACAAAATACAAATTCAAAACCAAATTTTAAAGGGCAAAACGGCCACCTGTTACAATTTCTTCTATTTGATTTTTAACTGCTTCTTCATAAATTCAAATCATACAGCATTTCATTCAGAAAATCTTCGTTTTATACTGTACTTATTTCTATATTTCACATTCAAAGCTAGTGTGTAATTGTTTATGAAAAACGCTTGAAAAAGAAACCCTAACCAGGTCCTTCAGTTACAACCAAAGCTTGGGCCCCTCAGGTGCGGATTGGCTGTACTAAAAGGTTCTCTTACAGTCTGCTACTTTGGTTATTTGCATCATGTGTATCTACCTTACTTAACCGTGACATTTTAGAAGCGTTTGGGAAGCCAAGATTGCACATCTTGTAAAATACCTCGAGCAGAACTATGATAATTTCCACTATAAAGATTGGGAGTACTTGATTTATGATTTTATGGGTCTCATCTTGGAGAATATTGAGGATGACGTCTTTAACGAGAATCTTATATTGGAAGCAAAAAAACAGTTACCGCTGTATAGTACCAAACCTTTGGAGAAGTGTCTCCTACTGAAATGTATGGCCATAATATCGTGTCATATCAAAAATGATATCATTGTGATTGATGTACTTAACATTATTATTGAAATGATCAAGTTTAATGATGGATCCGAGTTAAGTCAGTGCGCCGAAGCGATCGGGATTTGTTCTCGAGCGCATCTCAAACTTGTCTTGGAGAAATTCAGTACCATTCGTAAGGAAGTTTTGGGAAAGAAGTCGTTGAAGTTGTCATTCAGCTTTATGAGTAATCAAAGGCATGAAATCGAACTTGAGAGAGTATGCCGACTGATGGTTTACCTACTTCCTTATAATTTACTTCATCTTTTAGATACGGCAAATGGTATTAGCGAGTTACTCGCAGATTTGTAACGAGGCGCCAGGCGAAGTACTTCTTCAAGTCGTACAATACGAAATATTAGATTTCGCTGTTAACGAGTTGAAAAGTTGCAAAGATTTTACAGTTCGCCAGTACTGTCTGAAGGTTATCGGGTCGGTAGCGGATGCTTTACACCCTAACAGAAATTCATTACATATCCACATGCAAGATAGAGATATTATTTTACCTCTGGTAACAGGACAGCTTCTTTTACATAGTGGACCTGACTACATCGAACTGTTTCCCGTAATACTGCCTGTGATTATGTCTTTGGTATGTATGTTTTTTATAAAGGTAAGTATGCTATACCAGATCACCGTAAATTATGAATACCTATCTATAGCGACAACCTTGTTTATTTGCTATGTGGATATAATTTGTATTTCAATTTTATTTGAGATTAAACACAATGGTAATCATATCATTTGAATTTGAAACCAATGTGATTTTGTTTAAGAATTATTTAATGTTGTTAATTTTGTTTAAATAATCGCTTATATTTATTTATTTAATTGTAAAGAACGTGTTAAAAGATTAAGTTTATTCTTTTGTCAAAGTGTTATCTCTGGTCAGTGGGATAAGAAGTTACAAGAAATCATTTTTGTATAATTATTTGGAATTGTGGAATTGATCAAGTTGTGGGAGTTGTGGAAAAATTATATTCATTTCATGTAAAAGATTTTGTTAGTACCTGAATTTAATTGAACTATCTGGACAGGTGCTTGTAGGTGGTTTAGTGACCGTTTGCCACTACTTTCACTTACAAAAATATCCATTTTGTTCCTTATATACAACCGTGTAAATTTAAATAATACAATTACGTTCAGAACTTTACTTCGGGCAAATTGGTTTAATTAATTAATTAGACACAAAAATATAATAGTGGTAGGTTTGCTTAGTTTCAATGAAATTAATACATCAATGATCTTTGGATTGCATAAATGTTTGTCCGCAGTACATGCAAGCGTGAAGTCCTGGTTTGTCTAAATTCAGATAAATTTTTGGGTGTCCTAAAGCGCCTCCACCATCGCAGCATACAACATTCTGTCTGGTACAAATCGGTTTTAACTGTGCAACCAACTTGATGGCAAAATTTGGGTTGACATGCTTAGGTCTATTTATGAATCTAGCCAATCTGTAATCGTCTTTATCCCACTGCTGGCCGGTGTGCGTTATCGGATCTTTCGGTATCCAATCTGACTTGCGTCTAAGTAAAATTAGATTTTTTATAGCTTGGAATCGTGACATCTTGAATTTGATCTGTCAATTTTGTCATAGCAGACTCTGTTGTTTTAGATTCGACTACCTCCGGCTTTGGAGGAGGAGCAACGGTCGACGCTTTTAAAGCATTGCTTCGATAATATCTACAATGCGTCTGCCATATACTGCAAAATTAACGCCGAGTGCACTCCTGGAACCGGTACTTACTACGGCGATTTAAAATTGGCGCCTTTCGTTTACAGCAGCTTTACCAAGCTAAATTTCGTCGTGCAAGAAGTTTTAATGCAGAGTTTATCCCCGTCGACTTTAGATGAGATTGTGTCCCTGTTGGAACCATGGTTAGGTCGCAAAAAGGCCGAGCAACGTCTGCCTGCCCTCGAAACTCTTAGGGACGCTTTGCAATCTTACTTAGATAACGTGAAGTTTGGATACGAGGCACCTACCAGCTTTACACAATCCGGTTTTCTGCTAGCACGTGTCGTTCCACGTTGCACGGATCCCAATAGGACAATACGAAAGGTAAATTCGGTCTATTAACCGGAAACAGACAAACATCCATTTTTAGGTTGCGGTGGAAACTTTAAGGCTTATTTTGTGTATTACCGCCCGATATGAAGGTCACGTGCGCGATCATGATCAAATTATTAAGCAGTCCTTAGTGAGAATCCAGGAGGAAATCGACTCGAGTAAATCGAAAGTGCTGTTCAACTTAACCACTGATTTATCGAACGTGATCGTGGAACATTTACCATCCGTGCAGTTGCCATATTTTATAAGCCATCTAATTGACGCATTATTGGATGCGGAATCGTTAAGCTCTAGTGGCAGCACTGTTGTTCTTAATGCTGTGATAAAGAGTAAAGGTGACGATTTGTCGATGAATGTGTCGGATTTGTTGAATAAGCTGCTGAGCATTTTGGATCAAATCACCTGTGTACGAACGCGAGCTTCGGCGTTGCGTGTTGTGTTAAATTTTGCTTTGTATCATTCCAAAGTGGTAGTGGGGATGTTAATGGCCCATCCCTTGCCCTTCACCCAGTAAGTCATTATATGACGTATGAGGTAATAAGACAGTTTTTCAGATATGTAAATGACTGTTGGGTTGTTCTTTCGACTGATGTGGAACTAGTCTGTGATATATTGGATCAGTTTACTAAAATATTTAAAACTTCAAATCTTTACGAAGATCAGTCAAGCGTCAATCATTTACGGATTGTTACAATACAGCCATTGCAGGTAGGTTACAAACAAGATTACCAGTTTAAAGGTAGGTAGATGCAGATTGCAGATGCTTCTAAAAAAGGTAAACAAATCGCACAGTAATCCTAACTTGATTATTTATAGAGATATTTCTTTGAAATTTTAACCATAGATGCTCCCAGTAAAAAACAAACATATCGCATCGCAGTAAAGATCTAATAGGCGCATGCCCAGACTGCGCAGTGTCAACTTTCTTACTTCTAGAGAGATACTTTTCAAAAAATATAGATGTTTCTATTGCTCTTCTAGTATAAAAACAGTCACTTCAATCATTGCAGGTAGCTGCTCACTGCAAAACTGGTCGCCTGTGAGGTGCACACAAAGTATGCTATTATATTTTCATCTCTATCTAGCTCATGCGAAGAAAAAGGCATAAGTTTTGCAGTGGGCGGCTACCCGTGACTTGTTTTTATACTAGTAGAGAACGATGTGCAGAGTGCGCAATGCCAATTTTCCTACGTATGAAGTTATTTTTTTGATATATTAACCACAGTTTAACCATACAAATGGTTGTGTTTTTGCTTGTCTCCATGTAGCCTTTTGGGAAGTACTGATCTGTGCATGAAAAATGCGTAAAAGTTACTTTCCCATTTGTGAAAGAATAACATTCTGAAGTCTCTTACATAAAGTACATAAAATACATTGTTAATTAACCGAACCTCCTCCAGTCCAGATGGTATCTAAAGGTCCTGGGTACGGTAACCTTACACTAGAGCTGAATATAATGAATAAAGATGAATCCTGATCACTTCGGCATCTATCTCTGCACGTACGAAAAAGTAAAGGTACCATTCCGATATTGGCAGTCGCGACCCAGCAGCGTTGATCCACTTTGGCTGCCCTGTCGTACAAACGATAGAAAAAATTCTTACGACAGTATATTTAACTGGGAAACGTCGTTGAAGCCATCGCGTCGCTGGCATTAGAACGTTTTTCTTTGTTAATTGATTGCACGTGCCCTGTTTGAATTAAATCAATTGGCCCCACGTTGGGCGCCAGTATAACAATGTGGAACTTTGTAAGAGTCACAGATAACTGTTAAACATTGCATGCATGCATTTCAAGCTCGTAAATCCCCTAATTCAATAATGATTCACCACGTTAATTTATAGACTTCACAATAATTTTTCAAAAGGCAAAAAACGAGCAAAAAGAATTCGCGTCAATGATGGCGTGAAAAGAGCTCTCTTCGAACGATAACAGCCTAAAGCAAAAGAAAAAGGAAAACCGCAACGCGAACTACATGACTTGGTAAATGATTAATTAATGCTTGAAGAGTGTACTGCCACTACTTACTTATAACCAAAGTTCAAAATCGAAATTGTTAACTAAGCATGACGGTCTTTGAAGGTGATCAACTCAACAGTAATCGCACTGCGTTCAAGATCGATTTGGGTAACGACAATGAATAATGAACATATAATGACATTTAAATATTAAATTATTAACAGTGTAATCAGGTTATTCTAGTTGACCCGGAGACCTAACCCCTTACCTACGCTTCAAGCGCTGTGATTACAGGTTAGCCGAGATTACAGGTTGATCTTGCATTTACGTAGCTTCCACAACGTCTGGTATATGTGGTGTCTTGATAAGAAACTGGTGTTGATAGCGCGCATTTAACGTGGATGTACAGGGTGGCCAAATGAGAATGCGAGGTACTGTATCTGGGAACCTGTCCATCGTAAAGGCTTGCGGTAAAAAAATTTACTGCTAAAACGGCCACAAGAAAAACCTGGAAAATATTTGTAAGTTTCTGAAATGTCCGCTAGGGGGCGTAACTTGAGGTATTCAAAGGTTTTTAGCGCATTTTTGCAAATTAATTTGTAAAAAGTAGCTTTTAATCTCACTTTGCCTGGCTGGCAGCAAATGTGGGCGCGTAGAAGAACTCTTGTACCTAGAAAGGCAACGGGTGTACGTGTATCTACAAGGTCGTGTAATTTGTCAACCTTAGGGACAGGGCTACATGAGGTGGGGTTGGCGACATCTGGGCGTCATCCTCGAGGGTAGTTTACTAACGTGAAGGTTTTTCAGTTTTTTCCTATCTTCTACTACAGTTTTGGTCCGATTCTTGTCAAATTGGTGTCGTCAGAAAGATCTTGTAAACGCGCACAACTCCTGCGTGGCGGAATTTTGTTTTTTTTCAAGATATCGAGATGCGGTTTTCGAGAGTTTGTTTAGGCATCATTTAATTACTTGTTCATGAAAAAAAATCGAACCAATGCATTTAATTTTTTTTGATAAAATTAACCATTTCTGTCGGAATGTCCAAAAACGACCTCAAGCGGTGATATGTGAAACAAAAAAAACTTCAAATATTTGTAACTGAAGAATACCTCTTTTGAACTAACCCGAGTTTGTTTAAATCTGCTCAGCCGTTTCGAAGATACAGGGTGTTCTTTACGGAAACCTTTGAATACCCCCCACCACTTCATTTTTAGAGATACAGCAAAAATTGACAAACAAAAAAGGTTCAGATTATCATCGACTTCAAAGACGGGGCATTTTTTGTTAGGTTAATATAGCGGAATTCACAGAAACATCACTTTTTTAGATTTCAGTAAAGTCACTAGATATAGAAAGTACCGCAATCATCCGCCATTTTTGGGCAAATTTGCTGCCAACTTAAAAAAATTGACAAATAAAATCTGAATAGCTGTCATTTTTTACAACCTAACTTCTAGTACTGTCATGTTTTGTAAAAATATATACAGATATCTCCAAACAAGTGGAATAATCCCTAACATTAAAGTTACTAGAATCTGGTAACTTCCGCCATTTTTGGGCAAAAATCATGAGTTCTCTCTCTAACACACGAGCCCAATGGATTGCTTTACTTTCTATATTTAGTGACTTTAGATTTCAGATTGCAGTTACGCCCCCTGGCGGCCAGTAGGTTCTCAGATACAGTACCTCGCATTCTTAGTTGGCCACTCTGTACAGTTAAATTGAGAAATCCAAAACTTGAAATTAAAACTGGAACCATAAAAAGAATTAATATGTAACACCGCTTTGATCACAGACATGTAACCTACCTATCCACAGCAATGATGAACTCAGATCGGTTCGAACTTTATGTAAAGCGAAGAGATATTATTGTGGTTTATTGGAGTTTTTGTTTCACTTTTGCAAAGCTAAGAGAATTAATAAAAAGATTGTACGAGGTAGTGAATAGCTGCGACTTACAGATCAGTAAATCCAATTTCATATCCTCCAAAATGAGAGAAATTCCAAGACTAGTTTGAGACATACACCACAACTAGTTAAATCGCCAGAAACAATTACAACTACAGTGAACCTCAAACAAATAATACAGCGACACTCAACCAAATAATAACTCATACTTATACTATACTAATTAGTCTTTGGCAAGCAGAAGAGATTTCCAAGACATACATAAGGACAGAATGTTGCACCACAGCGTTTGTACGTTTTTTGCCCAGACTGAGATTTAACAAAACAACTTGCAAAATGAGGCATACTATCGGGCAGATGACTATATAGAGGCCTTCGTGGCCGCTTGTTAGTCCAGGTGGAGCCTGTTTGATTTTATCTTGTGATTAAGCCTATGTCTTTGGGAATAAAACTACATAATCTGCTATTAAAATTAAAAAAATCACTTAAAAGGATTCCCCCACACTTACAAACTGATTTTTGCCTTTTTGACGTTATTTTTCCCGTGCGATTTGCTACACACATCTTTTTCAGCATGTAATAATAATATACAGTATTCTTACAGGCATTAGCTGCAATGAACCAAATATTCACAAACTCGCAACTGGACGGAGTTTGCAAAAAAAAGTTTCCCGAGCTGTTCTCTATCCTGTATATCACGTTGGCGTCGTATATTGGCACAGCTGCACCAGCTACAACTACGAGAACGACCAACAAAAAGGAAAAGTACAGCATAATCCCAAATAGAGAAGCGTATAGACTGAATCCGTTAACAATATGCATGTCAACTCTATGTACCTTTTTGGGTTGCGCCGGATACACTTCAGTTTCCGAATCATTGGTCGGTTACAATTTGGAAACTATCGAACAGTTCCTCGCTGTGGTACCCTTACTCACCGAAAATCTTTCTATGACTCTTTCAGAAAATTTCCCATGGGTTGTGAGTTGTATCGCGCCTTACTTGAAATCCGAAGTTGAGTATCAACGTATGGCAGCCGTTACATTTTTGGCGTCTTCGATTAAGTACGCACCGCAAAATGATCACGTTCTGTTAGAGAGCTTGATTGAAATGCTTCTGTCAGTGCAGAATGACAGTAGCTATATGGTTAGACAGAATATGTTGCGTGGATTGGGATATGTTGCCGAGTATTTGTCGAGCGAGTTGGTTTTGAGATATGCGGACAGTTTCTTTACAAACTTCATGCAGGGATTAGATTACAATACAGTCAGGTAGGTTGATTTTTTGTAATCCCCACATCTTGAAAGATACCACATTTTCTTGCAACTAAGGTGATTTTACCATAAAAAAAGTAAAAATGTTGCCAAACTCATTTGGATAGAATTGTGACCCTATATTTCGCATTGAATATTTGGTGATCTACCTTTGGGTTGGCGTGTGCCTAATATGATTTTTTGATAAGGCCTATTAACTCGTATAAAACTTAAGTAGTGTAACAGGGGCGAACCTGGACCAGCTCAAGGTTCGTCACCTGGTGGTGAGTTTGGAAAGTTAGTCAAGGTGAACATCAAGGGCATTAGCTTCCAAAAGCTGGTGGTCATTGAACTTTGATAACCTTAAAAATTATACTCAACACCACAAAAATAGGGGTAGTTGATATCTGGTGACTTAAAAATGAAATATGACAGAAATGAAAATTGACCTTTGACGACCTTGACCTTGGGCTCCTTGACCTCTGATAACCTTGAAAATGAAATATAACACCGCAAAACTGGTGGTCATTGGACTTTGATAACCTTGACAATGAAACATGGCACCACAAAAAGTTAGGTCATCGACCTCTGGTAACCTTGAAACTGAAACATGCCAAACAATTATTAATTATGGTCATATCATGAGCTTCTCACATATCACTAATGCTTATGTGAAATAATTCAAAGCAATGAATACTAACACTTATCGTTTCTAGTAACGAATCCGGCGTAACTCTAGATTCCATGCTTGGTTTATCAAAATTATTAAAAATACCAGAAGTGAACTGCCTATACTCCGAACAAGTGAAAGCTGCAATGCGAATTAAGCCCTTATTCGAACAAGACGACGAACTACTACGTGAAGCCGCCATTTATCTTTTTGGAAATTTAGGATCATCAATTACCGACACCATGCAATCGTCCGAGGCGTTCCGTGAGCAGGTCTGCGGAAATCTTATAGCATTACTGCTTCATTTATGTGATGAACAACCGTCTGTTGTTAAGGTAGTATACTTAATCAATGCGTTAAATTACCCTGATGGTTATAGGCGTGTAAGTATTCACTTCGAAAGGTGGCTCCTTTCTTAAAAAGCACCGAAGTCAACAAGATGATTCAGGATCACATCCTGGAAGAGGCTACTCTACATTTTTCCGACTTCATAGCCGACTTTGTGAAGACGATGGTCGGTAATAGGTAAATTGATTGCAGTTATTTAACCTCGCGTTTCAGGGGAAGGAGTTACCCGACTTTTTCCCAATGTTTTTAATGACCAGTGTTTCGTATTTCAAGAGTGCATGGGTAGACATAAGAGGTTCCTCTGCGCTTTTGGCGGGCTTGCTGTACTCTCAAATAACAGATGCAGATATTCGTAAACAAGTGTCACTGGGCACAGTATGTCATAGGTTATTACAGTTGTTGAAAGACGAAAATCCTCAAGTACGAATGAAAGCTGTCCAGGCAATTGCTTGCTTGTATGACAAGTGATTTATTCGTTGAGTTTCCAATTTTATACTATATGGCTTGTTTTTGTTTTTATGTAGTTTATAGTTGATTTTATAAGTTGTGTAATTATTGTGTTAAGTTTTAACGTTGCTTTTAAAAACCTTGGCATATTTATGAATCATTTTTAAGTAATATATATTCTTGTATACCAAAGTGTGAATTCTGAATTCCAAACTCAAAAAACTATTCGTCAGCGCAAATTGAAATGAAAATATTAAAAGTTATGGATAAGAAATTGTGCCCGGGTAAACGGCAGGAGTAACTATGACTCAAGTAATATTTAAGTCGTTATTCCTCGCGACCCAGTCAATTTATGCGGGAGTGATTTTCAGTACGCCAGGTCGCTTGGGAACCATAAGAAGAATGCATGCCATCGCAGGAGGCCGGTGATCATGTATATGAGGTCTGCAGCAAAACTTACCGGTCAGTAGCCTCGCTAAGAACATATCTTAAGGACCTACTACTTGTTGCCACCTTGTCCACACCCATCCGTCTGTCCGTTCCTCAAACTTTACTTAAAGATTCTATCGGCATATGCTTGTTCCTGCTCCTGTTTTGTGGAGCTATTGACACAAGATTTTTGTAAAAAATCAACTTTATTTTAGCTGCATCAAATCGAAATAAGTGATGTGAATTTCAAGTGATTATAAAGTTAACACAGTAAATGATGTTTAGCAGGAGTTCCCCAGCAACGGTGCGATTTTGAAAATAAAGTGCTTGGAACGGCGCTCTCGGAAAATAAGGCACTATGAGCTGCCGTAAATGCCACGTTGACGCACATCTCTTCACTTAAACCAGACAGCATTCCGACAATCAGTCCACCAGCCAAACAGTCTCCGGCACCGCTAACGTTCACCAAATCCGTTACCCTATCGGTCGGATAGTGCCGTATTTGTACTTGTGCACTTGTCTCCGGAGAAGGAAGGTATAACGCATCGGACGAGGAAGCTCTTCTAATTATTACCAGTCCTTCAAGTCCTAATGTCACAATAATGGTGGGAATGTACGAAATTAATTGCTGGCCAATGTATACAACTTCTTCGATTGGGGTACTAAAGGAGTTTTCTAGTGGAATATTCAGTGCTTTTGCAATAGATTTTAATTCCAGTAAGTTTGGACTAATGTACTTGATGGCATTCCAAGAATTTGTCTGAAATGGTTTTATCGAAACAGGTGCATCGGTTGGTTCGAAGAAAACTGAAACAAAATTAATTATTAATGTATGCAAACACTTATTGCAGTAGTGTAACAAAGACTTGATGGCTAGTTATATAACAATTATCTATATTCCCTATGTAACAGTTACGTCGTATTTAACATCAGAGCTTGTGGATCAACTGAAAAAATGTTGTTGGGAGAGCGAGCCTACTTAAGGGCTGTGAGAGAACCACTAATTCTTATAAAAATTTGTAATCTTAGTTTCCAATATGATAGTAAACTCGTGACGTTAGACACCTTGTAACTTTACTAAAGAAAAAATCATTAAATGTTAATTGCCCCAACTATAAAATATAAACAATGAAGAGCGTGTGGATTTATTCATAATAATAAAAATCTCATAACCCCTCATATATAATCATTTCCATTTGAGACCCAATAAAAAGGCGAAAAGACGAAGTACTAGACCTAATGAACTGTGACAAATTTTTCCTTTTTTTAAAAATAAATTAGCGTTATTTCCCAATCTAAAGGAGGAAAATTTTATTTCAATCAATAAGGCAACAAAAATTCACCAATTTCAAACTTGCCGCCTAAGCAACAATTTGACGCATCCTGTATATAAAAGAATGAATAACAATTAAAATGGCGACGAAAACAAAAACTGGGCTTGCCGCAATCATTTTAACAATTACCTCTTTTCTATTTGTTTTAATATCGTTTTGTACCCCTTATTGGCTAGTAGGGGATGTAAACCGTGTAAATCAAAATTTCGAGAGATTAGGTAAGTGCCCCCTTTGATTTTGGCAGTGGGAGTAGTTCTAATGGGTCTGTTTTAGGATTGTGGCAAGTTTGTTTTAAGAAGTTCCAAGACTTTCGTCATCAGTACGATTTTCAGTTCACGGGATGTTGGTGGATATTCGAGGAGGAGTACTACATCATTCAAGACTTCTTGTTGCCCGGCTTCTTTATCGCCACTCAATTCTTTTTAACATTGTGCATGACTCTACTGTTGATAGCTGCATTTTTAACGTGGCTGTACTGCTTCTGTAGTAGACATCATGATAAATACATGCTGTTGTTGCTTAGCGTCGGTACCGATTTGGTAATAGCGGGAGCCTGCGGTTTGGTCGGGGTGTGTATCTTTGGAGCGTTTGGGGATAGTAGAGATTGGATGCCAAATTGGAAAACAAATGGTTTGGGATGGTCCTTCGCATTCGCATGCATTGGATCTTTAGGTTTGTTGCCGGCAGGAGCTTTATTTTTGGTTGAGGCTAGACGGTGTCGATATCGTAACTTACGAGAATCTCAGGTGGCTTCTCAATATAGTATGGAAATGCGTAAACCGTCGCATACAGATATTTAAATACATTTTTATTGTGTATATACTAATATTAGACCATGATCTGTTTTTGATAGTATTTTATATTACGTTTTGATATTTATCTATTAATCGCGTGATATATCCGTCCAATTTTTATAAATGCTTTTATAGGTTTTACGAAAATATATACGTTTTATATATTTCTTAAATAAACAGTATTTGTTGAATTTTCAAAAATATCCCTCTCCCGTCAGTTGGGGTAAAACTCTGTGTGTGCAATTATAAACTGCTTAATAGAAAAGCTCATTAAAAACTTTGATAGAGAAAGTTAACTTTCATTGTATGTAAATGCATTTATTCTTATACAGGGTGGCGGGGGGTCGGTTATCAGTCAAAAAGTTTTGAATATACTGGGAAGTAATAATTTTAATTATACAGGCGTGGCACATCAATATGGCATTTTTAAAATAAAACACCATATACATTATTCGATTTTTCAAACTTAATTTTAAACAAAATTTGTAAGAAGCATAATGTACGGAAATTCAATCGTTTTTAGGTTATTGAGTTTTGAAAATCAACGCTATTGTTTTAAAATTTATTGAATGCAGAACAATAATTATATAATAATTCCTTTTGAAAACATTGACTGAAGCCCTTCAAGTGTAATAAGTGTATGTACGCAGCTTACGCTTAACGCTCCTGATTTTGGTTTTTTTAGTGGTTGCTGAGCGAGTCGTTCACCAGACATTGATGAACGCCCTCATTATTATATGGTTTCTGAAAAGAACCGATTTTTTGTTTGTTATGATTGTTTCGAATCATTAATTATTATTCTTCACTCGTTCGTTTATTTTAAAAATTCGATAACCCGGAAACGATTATTTGGGTACATTATGCTTCTTTCAAATTTGACTTAAAATAGAAGAATCGAAACATCGAATAATATACAGGGTGTTCCATTAAGTTTTGGTGTGTCACGCCTTGATGAACAACCCTGTAGGTATAATTAAAATAAAATAGTAGACATTGAAGACCCCAAAAACTGTTGTATAAACTTTTGTTTCGATATCTTGTAATGTTGCGAGCACTATTGCACGCGTTTTTCCTGCTCTGAACCGGTCCATAAGTCTTTGAAACGTCGTCGGTGCATCCCGCAACCCGAAAGGCATACAGCGGAAAAAACGAAAAAAACTCGTAACTCGAAAACTAAGACGACGACCTTTTTCCCACTTTCTGAGATCTTGGGCGACGTGGAGGAGCGTGGGGTGCGATTGAAAGTGGATGGCTTGATGCGGAAACGGCGAAACCCGTAGCACCACTTTCGAAAAGGGAGTTTTTCGCTTTTCCAACTTTGCGGCCTTCTATAGCTCAAACGGTTAGAGCTAGATGAAAACGTAAAATATTGCGCGACGATATACCTCTCGATCTACGAGTTGAGGGGCGCGGGTCATATAAGTAATGTAGCCCAGGGTTATAAATGAGCTAACTGGGCAATAACCCAGGGCGCCACTTTGGAGGGGACGGCAAGATGTGCTAAATTATATTTTTTTGCATTATTTGCAATTCCCCTCCTCTGTGGTTCTTGGAACATTTTGTTTCAAAATCAATAAAGATAAATAAACGTATGAAATTCGGCCACTATTAAATCCGATCTAAAATGATCTCAAACTGTAGGTTTTGTAGGCAGGGCAATGAGAGACATAGGTTTGATGATTAGTCTGTTCTCTATATTTTCCACGAGTTATGAGGACCGAGGCAGGATGTGTATCCTAAATACACTGTAGGTACATACTACACACACGCGATGGCGTCGTAACCCTTTGTCAAATAGGTAGGTATTGACTTCTACATTAACCATTGCCCATTCAGATTTCAGCATGTCATTCTACCCAATTGAATGGTTCGGTTCGGAGATCCAAAATCGTGAATAATTCGTGATGCTTGTTTCCATCGTTTTTAAAGAAAATTCTGCCACCAACAATTACTTTTAGCGTTAAGTGAAAAGTAATTTTAGTAAAAATATCCCTCTCGCTTACACATTCTTAACTCCCGACTTCAGATACCTACCAAAAAAGTTATACAAACATCAAAATAGCGAATAATAATTACATTGCTATGCTTCTGATTCATGTAATGTTTTTCTTAATTTTCATTTCATGGTCATTACAATGGAATTGTTTACGATTGTACGTACTTCGGGAACTCTGACGAATGGGCAATTTTTTTCGAAATTCGCAGAATAGCGCAGTATAGCGAGGATCTGATCAAGACACATTTGTTGTTGCAAAATATATGGTACCACAGGAGAGCATTAAATGTTTAAATCACATGAGAAGTCTTTAGGTAAACAAGTTCAATTACTAACGAGTCAAAGTCCTACTTTCTTTAATTAGCGGTCGTAATACAGGAATGTTAATAATTAGTAAAATGATATAGGTAGGTATACTGCAGACAGGTCAAATTTTCTCTTGTATTCCTAACAATACCCATACAGTTTAATGTTGAGCAAGAATTTAATTAGTTCCATTTGTACATTGTGTAAGCAGGGTCAGTCTTCGAGGACAGTTTTTATTATGTTGGGAAACTAAAACTTTAAAATTGACTTTAGTGTGTATTTTAAATTGTGTGTAAAATAGAAGAAAGGATATTCTGTTCACAATCACAAATAAGTGGCGTCTACCTTCTATTCTTAACGTCCCAAGGAAATTTACAATTATTGCAAGGAGACTTTCATTGTGGACGATTGGTTTTTTTTTGAATTTTTGCGTCGCTCAAACACGTGCAATTGCAATTAAACCCGCAGGGTAAGGTACACAAGTGGAGTACCGCTTCCTTGCAATGGTGGCGGGCGGTCTGTTTTGAGGTGGTTTTCAAGTGTGAGTGTGCACAAGGTGTGGCTTAATGAATGAAGCCCTGATTCCTAAGAAATCCACAAAATATCCCGAAATACGTTAGACTCCAATTGTGTAATGTAAGGTGAGCGTTTACCACGTTTTTTAATAAATTATTTATTCATACCTTAGTCCATATGGCTGTAGGTAATTTAGATGTAGGTTAGAGTAGTTCAAAACAATGGCCCTTAATTCCCTTTTTCTTTTACTTAAATTTTGTTTTGTAGATGTCACGCAGATCACTTTCAGGAAATGTAGCATTGGGCTTCTTTGCAGTAGCATTCGTATTAATAGCTGTAGCATTTGGAACCCCTAGTTGGTTGGTATCAGATTATCGAATCACTGGTGCAAAGTTGGACCGTTTCGGATTATGGAGTCACTGCTTCCGCTCCTTGGCGGACCCCCACGATCAGTATCAGAGACGATTTTTCGTGGGATGTCGATGGCTGTTCGATCCCTTTACAACAGGCTACGATGACATACGCGGATATTTGGCACCCGCTTTCATGAAAACCACACAGTTCTTTTTCACCGTAGCCTTTATATGCATGCTAATAGGAGCCGTTCTTAGTTTGCTGTACGGCCTTTGTTGCGGGCCCGACATGTCAAAGTTTGTCATGTTAATTTGGGCCACTGCGGTTGTCACATTAATAGCAGGTCTATCGGGTGGCATAGCTGTTATTGTTTTTGCATCGTTGGCAAATCGTAACGGTTGGATGCCGGGGCATGCGAATAACTTCTTCGGATGGTCCTTTGCATTAGCCTGCATTGGTGTTATCGCGGCGCTGGTGTCATCGGCTTTGTATTTTGTTGAAGCTAACATACAGAAGAAGAAGAAAGCTGAATTAAAGGACTCTCAGAGCAGATTTACGTTGGAAACGAAAACGTAGTACAAATGCTTCTGTATTTATACAAAATCCGTCCAAGTTTGAATAGTTGATGCTTATTTTATTTGCATTGTGACTAATTACTTTAGTATTTTTATAGTATTTAAGTGGTAATTTTAAATTTTATAATTTGATTGACCAATTCCGTCCATTATATATGTGTATATAAAAATAGTTAATATTTGAACTGGAGACAAACACTAGTGCAAAAAAGGTGTTTGTATTTTTTAAGTTTTTGTGACAATTACGTAACTATAGTAAGTAAGTTGTAATTTTAAATTCTATACATCATTTGAACAAATCTTTTTTCGTTGTTTTGTTATGAATGGTAATTTATGCACAAAGTGCACAAGGAATGAAATTTTATTACTCCTGTTCGAATCGTTAGGTGTTACACTTAAAAAATGTCAGTTATTGCTCCAATTTATGTATGCCAAGGCAATATGTTGACATTTTGATACAATCATAGAATTTATACATCAAGTTTACCTTTTTTGTAAAATTACAATGTGACATTTTTAAAGTATTTTATATTGTACTCAAAGATTTTATACAAATTTGTTAATAAAGATGTACAGTTGTTTCCAACTAAACACTTGATGAACTGTCATTAGGTGCCAATTTCGAAGATCAAAGCGTGAAATTGTTTGATTTATTTTTTTCAAGTTTAGTGCCGTTTTATATTTTTCATGTGTGTGCTTTTCTTCAAGCACAGCGTCACCTACTACCTTCTAATAATGAATAGAAAAGAAAAGACGAGAAGGAATGCATCACAACTTTTGGTTATGGCCAACGCTAGTCACGAGATTACTCCTCCAATGGTAATGTTTAATTATATAAGAATGATCTATAGGCCGCTCAGGATGTCACTTTAGACGTACAGCATCCCGCCCTCGCAATTGACAAAAGGTCCCTTCTAAACGGACTTCCCTCCTTTAAACAAATCGAAATTTCTTATCCAATTATCGACGCCTGGCAACTCTATAAACCGACGAAAGCTTCACTACAATCTTATTTTAAAATAGGTACAACACATATTTTCTACGAAAACAAACAATATTTTTCTCGATTAAAAGGTATCCTTATCTCTAGATAATTACATTAATCGTTGATAAAAATAAACAAGACACCCAATAAATCAAATCTGAACTGTCACAAAATAAAACAAATTCATAAGGCAATTGAGATAAAAATTTCCTATCCCTAATAATTCTAGGAACTAATCTTTTTTACGAATCAAATAAATAAACACCTCGGATAGAGGCTGGATACTCAAAATCGTTTTGTGTTTATTCGTAAGGAATCCTACCAGATTAATTAAATAAATTGAAATGAACATATGGTTAGTAATTGAACGACACGTATTGACTTTCGTGACTGGATCTAAACCTCAATGTACAACTCGATATATTGTTTACACAGCAGTATTTTCGCAGTTTTTGGATTTTACAGGCAAAAATCTATAGAAAGAAGTTTTTTCTTGGTCGATTTCAGACAAGTATTTTTCGAATACTCCGAAATTGATCGGGAATACCCTTTTCCTTATAAATTTTGGTTCGTAGAATCAAAAATCTATAAGAAAAAGTTTTTTCCTTGTCGAACTAGAACAGGAAGTCTTTTTTCGTCAGAAATATAGGAATCAATTAGTGAGTCTTGCTATTTTATGGAAAATAGAGAAATTTTTGATTCGCCGGAAAGAGATTTTGTACTGTAGGATCCAAAACGGCCAAAATTTTCAAAATTGGACCAGTACAGCAAAAGATATACCTCTTTCTTTCTTCCTTGTAAATCGGTTTTTTGCCCATAAGTTTTGACCTATACGCTATTCATTTTAAGAAGGTAGCGGTAGAAAGCATAGGGACGGCTTGATCTTCACTGTGATTGGTTAAAACATGATACAGTATTACCCTGAAAAATAAAACGAGTGACGAATTCTGTCTGTTATAGAAGTTTCAATTACGAACTAAACTGTCGAACTGTCATTAGCTGTCAATTTCAAAGATCCAAGCGTGATATCGTTTGATTTATATTTATATTTTTCAAATTTTGTGCCGTTTTATATTTTTACTGTGTGTGTCGATCTTCAAACACAGCGCCATCTACGACCTTCTTATAATGAATGCAGTATAGTCGTCCATTCTTGAAATTCGGAAATGTTTGTTCTATACATCTATAAGAATTTTATATCTATTTGAAAAGTAAATCTACATCGTCGGTAAGACATCAAGGCTAGGTCTGTCGAAAAATGTGACGTCCCAACTCCTTCCTCATTTTATCTTGATCTTCAGTTTTTGCTCCATTCATCTCCAATGGATTTTGGCCTGTAGAATCCGAACTTCCGAAATTTACAAGATTGGGCGACTGCATCAAAAGTTACGGGCAAAAAATGGATTTAAATGACTATACGAGTATTTATTACTTGTAGCAAAGAGTATATACCGTGTGTCCCAGGGAGAACGTACCATAAGGAAACATAGGTAATTAATGTATTTTTTCGCGAAGGATCCAGGAGCGCTGTGATAATGTACCTATGTGAAGTGAGCGTGCAACGTACGATATTGCAGCGCTTGCCTGATGCTAGAAAGAGATTGGATTTCAAAGGCCTCGTGGATCCTTCGCGAAAAAATGCATTGCTGTTTCCCTAAGGTGCGTTCTACCTGGGACACACTGTATATAATACACTCTTTGCTCGTAGGTATCTGACAAGAATGCTCAAAAAGAAGACTTTCGGTTCTTCATAGATAAAATACGTACATTTCATGTTATAGGAATTGAGAAGGTGTAAAATGGACACATGATTTTCAAGTTTACACTTGAAAATTAAAAGAATTTCAACTTCCATTGTGGACTCCCGCCAAGATTTTCAAACATCAAAATATTTACATTGCAAATTTGCAAGGCGTGTCCATACGTCATGAAGTTTGTTGTTAATGAATTGTTAAATAATTAATCATTCACAATTTCTGACGAGGTTTATAAAATACCGAAAGAATCAAAATGAGTGTGGAGACGAAAGATTACCCCAGAGCCTCTGGTAAAATAAATCTCTAATACAAACTAACCTACAAATTCTTTACTTAGGTCACCTAGTAAATGGGGCCCTTTTATCCTACATTGCAGGACTGTTGCTTCTGATAGCGTTTTGCAGGTAAGATTAACAGACACCGAATGAAAATAAACCTTTCATTTCAGCCCGTATTGGGTGCAATCGTTCGAAGAAACCTTTTCATCGTTTAAAAACATGGGACTTTGGGAATATTGCTTTGAGAATTTTCGCTTTCCCTATTACCAGTTTGATCACTTGTTCGACGGTTGTAATCACGTTTTTAGTTTCGAGTACAACGTTATTCGAGAATGGATGTTACCCGGATGGTTAATTGTCGTCCAAACATTTGTAACTGTATCGTTTTTATTAAGCTTTTCCTCGCAAATTGTAATGGCTTGCCAATTGTGCAGGTGGCCTTTGGAGTTTGTGCTCCAGTACGAGTGGATTATATGTATTTTTGACTTTATATGCATCACATTAACTGGTAAGTCCTTTACTACCTATTAGTGGAAAATTCACTTGAAAATTCCTTTTAGCATTTCTGATGTTTTTGTCCGTTGCGATTTTTGGAGGTTCCCACGCTCGTCGTGATTGGCTAATGTATCCAAATTGGAATTACTTAAGCTGGTCGTACGGATTGGCCGTCATTTCATTCTTTTTCCACGCATTTGCAGCAATCTTCTTGTATTTTGCTGCTCGTCAAGCATACGAGTTGAGACGCGAATCTCGCAATTTAATTATGCAAATGCATCCGAGCCAGCATCGCCTTGGCTGGTGAATCTAAAGTCGTTGGTCTGTATTTTTAGATGTAGGAAACGCACAATTATGTATGTGCCTATTGATATTGCACGATAATAATTGTTAGAATCTTAAAAAGTAAATTGATATTATCAAGATAGGTAGCTTGTATTTTCAAATAGTATTAGCATACTTACCTATTTAGATGGGATGGTTGTTGGAAAAGAGTTTTATTATTTTACTACAAATGACTTGCAGTTCAAGTCGGTGATCTAAAATGCCTAATCAATTTTAAGTACAAATCTATTATACAAAGTTTTGTATTTTTTTATTATGATCAAGGACCAATAAGTATATTTTTATATATGTTGTAATGTGAAAATAAGTAATGGAATGGTTTCACAAGTAGCACGATGGGGCTTTTCTGATAATGTATGTGATTCTTTTTTGATAATTTATTTGTATTGCTATGTGAAATTTTATGACAATTTTAAATATTTTTAGTGTGTTTAACCATGGGTATGATAGGTATTATTATTCCGTCCTCTCAGGATATTATATTATGCTAATGATTTGTATAAATTTTAATGATTTTGTAATAAATATTTACAACAATAATATTGTTATATTTGTAGTATTAAAAGATCAATTACTACACACAGCAATAAAAGTAAACGTAAAATTCTGATTATTAAAATTGGATTACAGCGTCCATTTGAACATACCCCGTATATAAACGAAATACCAATAAATCAAATCTGAACTGTCACATAAATGAATTAACAAAACAAGTTGATAATGAAAAAGAATAAAATTTCCCTATCCTTAATAATTCTTTTTTACAACTCCTTTAATATTAAGACCAATCAGCTTGGTGGTTTCAAATTCTAACCAATCAGATGATTTTGTAGCTTTTTATCAGCGATAAAAATGCGCGTAGGAATGCGAAAATATACAGGGTATTACATGACCGCATGTAAAAAAAATTGGGTGATAGAGGGGATCAAGACAAGCGCTTTTTCCAAATAAACCGATGGTCCAACGTGATTCGTTTGGGAGTCACCAACAAAGAAGTGGTGAAATTTGAATTTCTTCTTTAATTTTTAGTGCATTTTTGAAAAAAATACGCTATTATATTCGTTATGACTGGCTGGCCGGCTGTCCAGGTGAGATGTCTCAGCAGCTACAATAGCTAGAGACTTCAAATTTTCACTAAAAGCTTTCTGCTATAATGTAGATGTGCAGGCTCTAGTTTATTTTGAGTTAGATTACTTGTGAGATCGATAATTTAAGAAAATAATTTCGATATGGTTTTCGGAGGTGCTATAATTTTACCGGTAGATAGCGCTACCAGTATAAAAACTTAATTATTTATTTTGTGATTTCTTTTGCAAAATAAAAAATGTTGATTTCGACGAAGTTTGGTATCTGGGGTTTTTGAACATGAAAATCACGAATCTGGAATTAGTATTTGAAAATTCGAAAAAAAAGTTCCACTGCAATTCTTGGCCGGACAACGAAAATGGAAAGAATTCCATGAAATTTGTTGTGTGCATACTTCCCCCGCCTTACTCTTGAGTGATCTAATTTCGCATGTAGTTACCTAATTGAAAATAACAAAAATAACGATTTAAGTCGATATTGTGATACTTGCAATAATGCTTGATTGTAATGGAACTCTACTTAAAAAGTATTTTCCCACTACCCGCAGCCACGGAATTTTTGGAATCGAATTGAATTTGCATCATTTAATGAAAATATCGACTTAAATCGTTATTTTTTGTTATTTGCGACATTTTCAATTAACTACAGGCGAAATTAGATCACTCGCACTAGTAGGCGGGGGACACTTTGTAACCCGAAGGCCCAATCTTCATTTCCCCCCATTTATATTATCTAATTTATTCCATTTGGGTGCATAGTGGACAATTTTGTCGGGACACATGGTTAGTCTCGTCACGTTCTTGTTGTAATGGGTGGCAGCCGTTTCAAAAATGTTACTTTTAAATTATGAATTTTGTTCAACATCGGAAAATTTACACATATACCGCTTCATAGGGAACGTGAACGTCTTGAATAAGAGCGATGACAACGTGTGCATTTCGATAAGAACGCAAGCTGTTTTTGAGATACACGCTAGGGAAAACCAGATTGTAAGGTGGTTTTCGGCAGTCGAGACTAAACTTCCAAAGAGTTAGCACGTACCATTTATGTGTGAAATTTACTATTTCGAAAAATTGTGAATATTACGCGGTGAAATTCTTTTTCAAGAGTTAGCACGTACCACTTCGTTCGTGTAAGTTTCTTGTTTTATTAATACAGTGGCGCGTTAAAAAAAACTTCGATTATGTCGTTGGGGAACATTTAAACGAAGGCTAAAAGTGCGAGTTACCAACGAGTTTAAGTTACGCAAGAAGGAAAAAGATGAAACGGGCTGGCAGCATAATTCGTGGTAAGGCCGTTTATTTACAAGTGATTAATACACTCCAGTAATATACGACCAATCAGCTTGGTGATTGTTTCAAATTCTAACCAATCAGAGGATTTTTAAGTGATTAAAAGCTAGGCAGCTAGCCATTTTTGTTATACAGGGTGGCAAAGTTACAAATTTGTTCTCGTATTTTGCGTTTTCTCTCTTATGTTCGGGGATTAGGGAATGCAATACCGGGATCGCGGGATTCCGAAATACTGGGATCCCGCAGCATTTTTGCGGGATTAATCCCGCATATAAATGGAGCGGGATCCCGCGGGATTTGCGGGACTGAGGAATTTGTCGACCAAGGGGACGATTCTGTTTACATTGTTAATGAAACTCATAACGGAGAAGTTATTTTTTAAATAATTGTTAAACTTTTTTCGTTAAAAATGTACTATGATTTTTGAGGCACTTTAGAAGTTCATTTTTTTGTGCTTTACAGGTGAGGTTGTTTTGAGTTCTAAGTTAGGCTGAAGGTACTTTTTTGTTAAATATTGTGATAATTAGCGATTTATTTTAATACAGAAGTTAACCGCACAGAATTGCTTATTTGCAAATTTGTTTAAAGTTTTGCGGGATCCCGCAAATACCGGGATCCCGCGGGATTATCATCTAACAATCCCGCAAATACCGGGATTGAGATTTTTCTGCGGGATTGCATTCCCTATCTGGGATAATTGTTTCAAATTTCATAGATCAATTATTTTTTAGAATCTCGCTACAATAAAGTATCAAATAGTTGGTCGCAGGGTGTTGCATTTTCATTGTCACCCTGTATGACAAAAACGACGCCTTTTAGGCCATGCATATATTTGCATTTTTTCTTATTTTGACGAGTATCACCCCCTGAAATATCTGCATGACATTAATTAATTTTATGATATGCTTCCCGTGTACCGATTTTTACGTCTTTGGTCCGTCAGTCATTAAACATGAGTAATTTTTGCGCCCCTTCTTGTATGCGGCGTAAGCGACGAGTTACACCGCTTACGCCTAAAGCCGGCCCTGTTTTTATCACTGATAAAAAGCTACCTGTCGTCGTGTAGACCATCGCACACATTTGCATTTTTTTTTCTTATTTTGACGAGTGCTACGACCACCAGCATGACATTAAACAACAACCTGTATTTTTAGCGCATTTTCCAACTCATGTTGGAAGGCGCTATTATGGCCACTTTCTCCGTCCGTCTGAGGTCTTAACCACTTCTACAGTTTTCAAGATATGCGGTTGGTTCTTTCTCCATTCGGTAGCTAACAGATCTGGCACCTCAACCAAGAAAAATCTTGACGATTAATATGCGCATGTGCAAACTGCGCAATGTCAATTTTCTTATTTATGGAGATTTTTTTAAATTTTAACCAGAAATTCTTCTTGTAAAGGCACACATATCGCATACTTTAAACATCAGGTGTGTCCGGAAGTAGTAATGAATGCATGGAAAATGCGCTACTTACCAATTTTAGTGCTTGCTTAGACGTAACTTTTGCCTTGAGCCGACCCTGGATAAAAATGCGTGTAGGAATGCGTAAAATATATAGTGGTTGTGAAATTTACTGTCTTTTATTAATCAGGGGTAAATACAAGAGCTTGATTTTTAATTGGATAATTTTATTTTTACACGAAAGTTTTGTTGCAAAGGAATTTCCAGGAAGCAACAAAATTTGAGTGAATTAAAAATAAAATTATCCTGATTTAAAACCAAGCCCTTGTGTATTTACCCCTGATGAATACACTCCATTAATATACGACCAATCAGCTTGGTGATTGTTTGAAATTCTAACCAATCAGATCATTTTTTATCTGATTACAAGCTAGGTAGCTTTTTATCAGCGATTAAACGCTATGTAGCTTTTTATCAGAGATAAAAATGCGCGTAGGAATGCGTAATATACATAGTGGTTGTAAAATTTACTGTCTTTTATTAATCTCCCTAAAATACACTCGATCTTGGTTTTAAATCAGGATAATTTTACTTTTAATTCTTTAATTAATTTTTTTAATTTTGTTGCTTCCTGGAAAAAACTCTGTGGCGATTTTATCACACTTTTGATCTTTAGTTATTTCCGTTGCAACAAAACTTTGGTGTAAAAATAAATTTATCCGATTAAAAATATAGCTCTTGTGTATTTACCTCCGATAAAATGTACGCGAAGGAACATTTTCGAATTGGAGAAGCGCCTTTAAAAAAAAACTGATATTAAAATTCAAATTCAAAATTCATTGTGCATATATTTTAGACATCTATAGTAACATTTCTCTAAGTTTTTGGTTTGAATTCAGTAGTTTGCGCTAAAGACGTTATATCGTTATATATTAATATCCGCATTTTCTGAAATTGGGTCAAGTAACACATCTAAAGTTACTCACCTGGCACATTATGCTTGCTAGCAGTTTCTAAAGCTGTATCCATTGCACCTAAAGTCAGGTTTCCATCCAAAATAAGCAAAGGACTCTTTTTTATGTCTTCTTCGTGTTTGAAAATCTAAAATAAAATCGGCTAAGAGGTACTTTCATTCCAATGGCCTAGGTCTTTGAAAATGTCGAATGCGACCGTATAACGGCAATTTTGTACCTCTTTCAGGTGAATTACACCTACATTACGTCACTGTTGTATCCGACAAATCCAAAATTAAGTAACCTAGTTCAAAATACCATTTCGCTGGTTATTTCTTGAAATATGTCCACGTCACCAATCAACAGCTTGCAGTCACCACCTCTATCGAAAACTACATGGCACTGGGCCGTATTATGCTCAGGAAGCGTGTGAATATTCTTTGAGCACGTCGGTGATAACATTGAACGTAAATTTTTGCCATAACTGTCATTTCCCACGACGGATATAAAGGTTGGCGAACAACCCAACTTGCTCATAGCTTCGGCGATATTTCTCGCAACACCTCCAGCGTGTTGGTCGAATTTCGCTTCGAATATTGTTCCGTCGAACTGAAAAAAAGTATCAAATAAGTGTCAAGAAACTTTTACAAAAATGTATTGCAGATTTTTAAATTGTGTGTGACTGTGGTTTGTAAATAGGAGGTTGTTGGCCTGTCTGCTTCCTACGAAGCTCTGGATAGGACACATAGGAAATTATTTTGTAAATTACAGTTGTCACTGGGAATTAGTTTATACTTTACAGTTGTAATTGGGAATTATGCTAATTTACAGTTGTAACTGGGAATTATACTAATTTACCGTTGTAACTGTGAAGGATAATTCCCAGTTACAACTGTAAATTAGTGTAATTCCCCCTTACAACTGTAAATTATAATAAACTAATTCCCAGTTACAACTGTAAATTACAAAATAATTTCCTATGTGTCCTATCCAGAGCTTCGTAGCTTCCTACGAATATTGAGTATTGTACGATACCCTTCATATTTATTAAAAAATTAGAAAGACCTTCGTCCCAGCATGTAATATTGTACTCGTATTATATAGGTAATTCAGAATCCCCGAATATCCAATAGATATTAAACTCATACAAAGTTGACCGTGCCCTAGGATTGTAAGTTATAATATCTAGAGATCAGTCCTTAACCAGAGAAAATACCCTACTTACCACCGATTAAAATTCCATTTCAGCACACTTCACAGTTACCCTCTCAAACTCTATATGAAAAATGGCAAATGTTCCCTTTGGATTATTATGCAGGTCACATATATGTTTCAACAGAAACTACCTCACTACTACTTTAACCCTAAACTTAGAAGGGCGTATGTAATTTGCTGCCCTTAACATAGGTATTTAGTTATGCATGGTGTAATTTAGGGCGATGGCGGTTGTTTAGTAGGTACCTGTTGTATTAAATTACTTTTAGCAAAACTGTTTCAAGACATTGCAGTACAGTGTAAATTAGAATTATTAGCAGTTCTGATGAGATATCCCGCACATTTTTCGTTCTGCATAATATTTATGCGCTTTTCACAAGCAAGGTATCGATTAGCTGTCGTTGCATAATTTGAATTCTGAAACGCCGGCTAGGTAGAATGTTCGCTGTAAGCAATAATTTCTAACAAACGATAACTAATTATGTACATTATTCTTCTAGTTCCAGCTCCGAGTTGTACTAGCGCTATCAATCACAGAATTTACGATGGATTATAATTTCAAATCGTTCGTAAGAAAAATGAAAATGGATCCCAGTTCGACCCTCGAGACCGGAAACTCAGGATGCTAATCAGGATAAATTGGTTCTAAAGTTATAGTGGGAATATCGAACTGAAGCCGACAAGTATGATTTTCTAAACTTAATTATAATCAAACACTATGCATATTTAATACTGTAGGAGGATAATCAGCTGTTTTGTTAAAAAGAAAAGAGCTCGAGAGTTGGCGATCTACAGGCATGAGTGTCAGAATTAAGAGTAAATTAAAGAACATTGGTTGGTCTGGATTCCTGGAAAAGCTATCTACAGGGGTGGAGGTAAGTTTCAATTTTGAAAAGCCAAGGCGCCCCAAGTAGGCAAATTAGGTGGTTTTATTTATTTATAACAGTCATTATTATTTATCACCGACAATTTATAACATAACACAAGCGCATCGAAATTGGAACTAAACTCGAAACAGAATTCCAGTTGTTTATATAACAAAAAACATTCTTTCTAGAATGTTCTTGAGTGTTCAAGGACTCTTTAGAATGTGCTCGAACAAACATTTCATATTTCTCGATGTCTCTCGGGATTTGTGGAATACTCGGTACGTTGTTCTGCGTCTCGCAACACGGGCTACGGTTGTAGCGTAGGTACAGACTACGAACTTATAAATTAAGATAGACTGCTGATCAAACAGTTGGATAGAGGTAGAAATGGCCCTAGCATGGGCGCGGCCATGATGTGCACTTTTTAGTTATTTTCTAGGGGAATTTTCCTAGTGCTCAAGTTTTGAGACTATTGCAACCTTGGAAAATGACATGTGTTAAAGTAATTTATTTAGAAAACGGGAGGTTAAAGCTTGTTTATTAGTTGATTTGAATTTCGCGCCAAGTGAGTGCACATCATGGCTGCCCCCATGTAGGTGTCATTTGTCAATTCAGCATTAGCAGTCCATCTTAATTTATAAGTTCGTGGTACAGACTCTTGTTCGATAGTGATGAAGGTACTTGCACGAAGACCCTCTCTTGCATCTTCCATTCTTGAAGAAAAAACAATCTACCGATAACGAATCGGTTGCGGAGTTCCTCTGCGGTTAAAGCAACAGACCAATATTTCCACCCCCGTGCCCTGGAATACCACCTCCAGCATATGAGGCACGATGCGCCAGTCCAACTAGCTTATCAAGGCCACATTCGATCTTTGAATTGCCAACTTGTTATTTGACATCGCATTTATCAACAACACTGCGTCGATACCGCAAACCTTCCGAACGTCAGCACCATCAGATTTAAGGACCTACCCCCTTGATGTCCTCTTGTGTGGAGATAAAGTTTTTACTGGGTGGGAATTTGCCTAAACAACCGTAACTTAAAAGCTGCCTAGTTGATGCGACCTCAATGGAAAACAGGTCGATAAAGTTAGCACCCTCACTTTGCTCAAATAAAGTAAACTATGCCTATAATTTAGAAACTAATTAAAGGCTAATTTGTACCCACAAAATTAGAATTTGTACCCGCTTAATTCTGCCGGAATACCGATTTCTGAAGTGGGGGTGCTAACTGAAATCAAGTTAGCACCCCCACTTTTCCCGATTGAAATTTTATTACTCGCATCAAAAACTATGAATTAAAGACTAATTTGTACCCAAGTTAAATTTTCATTGTTTAAACAATTTATACATCATTTAAACAATTTTTTACTAAAAAAGGAAATTTTCAGAATTAATGGAACGTATGAATTCAAGACAAATTGTATCCACAACATTAGAATTTGTACCCGCTTGGTTCCGCCAGAAAACTGATTCTGACGTAATAAGCATTTAAAGACCGCCTGGCATAAATTCAAAATATACGCTGCATAATGCAATCTTGCATTTTCCCTTTGTAGGTACCTTCCGTTGACACCACAATTTCGAGATATACACACTAAATTAATCTTCTGACATTTTTCGAGATATCCGCTCTTAAAAGATTTGACATCACTAATGGATATATTTCTTCCAAACGTCCCAATCGCCCTTTGTGGCTACCCTCCTCCGACCCTTCGCTCTAGAGATATTAGAACGAATCACGTTAAAGAGTCGAGGAGGACAGTGGTCGGTAGGAACTAATTCCTTTCGTTGAGACATTTCATTAGAATACCGTGAAAGATAAAATAAATTTCTAACCCCCATCCCCTCTCCCCGTCACCTACTCATCTTAAAAAGGAGTCGCGGATGAAAGTTATAGTTTGTAGAACCAATTCCTTTCGATGATACGTTTGATGAGAAAACCATGCACGTGTGGTTACACGTTACAGTTTCCTCGTGGGTACAAACAATACATTTATAACAGTCTTACTTATTTTGTAATAGCATTAAATGGTAATAGTTAAGTTTTATTATTTATCACCCACAATTTACATAATACGAGAGGGAGCTTAATACTTCACTTCGAATCGAAGTTAGAACTGACTCGAAAGTTCGAAACATAATTCGATTTGGTTATATAGCAAACGCCGGTCTTTTTCGAAAGTTCTCGAACGCTTCCGAATGCTCCCGAATATTATCGAATGTTCTCGAACAAACAAACACGCCATATTTCCCGGAAAAATGGGTCACATCCGCTTGCTATGCCTATGACAAATCTTTTATGGTCCCTAAATGTCTATCGGGATTTCTAGAATATTTCCTACAATACACATAAACAAAGATAATAAAAATGATAAACACAACATTTAACATTATGCACATTTAAGCTCTTCAAGATTATACGCTCATTTTTCTATTGGAAGTTGTCTTACTTTTTTCTGGAACTGGAACAGTACATATAAACAGTTTTATGCCCCGCACTCGTGGCGATTTACTAGTAATAGATGGCGATAAAGTAGGATCTGCAGTCCTCTAGATTTGTATTTAATCGCTACGAAGATTTTTTTGTTCGAAACTACGAGTATATTTATAGACCGAGAGATAACGACAGATTTTGTGCGATGATTTCTAAACGTCTGTCACCGCAATTTTGACAACACAGCAAACAGAAGTTTGTTTATTTTTCATTTGCCTATTATATGTCAATTATATCTGGCATATGTGATATATGAAGCAGTCTATTACGCCCAAAGGCATAATGAGAGGGCATAATGGATTGTCATCTCATTATGCCCTCAAACAGCCTGTCAAATTGATTGACGGAGTTATATTATGTAATAAAAAAGATACAACTTGATTCGTATGAAGCACCTTAATGTTGGACAAACAATAATCATGACATTTGTATATTGGAAATATTCTTTGGAACGATGAAAAATAAAATGTTGTATGCACCTCAGGCATTACTCAATATTTAACCCTCGAGCGACTTATAATCCCTCGGGCCGAAGGCCTTCGGGCTCTGTCGCCCTCGGCATAAATATCGCCTTACTGCCCTTGATGCATAAATAACTATTATTTTTCATTTGCCTATTATATGCCAATTATATCTGTCATATGAGATATATAAAACAGTCCATGGTGTCCTAGGACTTAATGGACTGTCATCTCATTATGCCTTTGTCAAATATATTGATAGAGTTATAATGTAAATGTATTAAAAAAGATACTACTTAAAAAAAACCATTCATATTCGAGCGGCCAATAGGCTACGTCGCTGAAAAACAATAGAGCCTTTCTTATATTCTTAAGACGGTGTTTACTAATTTTCAAAGCGATCAGGCGTTTCTAAACGGTTATTGTTATTGTGCGCATGCACAGATAGATAAACCGACAGATATGCAGACTGCAATACACAATTATAAACGATCTCGAGGATCGTTACTAATTTAGCAGAGTGCATTCTTTCGAGCCCAATATTCCCTCCCAATTTGCGCCCTGG